TGGGACATCATTGCTGAAATGGCTGCTAACTGGCTGGACACCCACTGGCCCATGTACCTTCTCCCCCATCACTGCCACTCCCAGCCTCCTCCAAGGACTCAGGGGACCCCACCCGGGCTGAGGACACACACAGAGCCCACGTGTGGGGTGTCAGCTGAGGGGTGTCCTGGAGCCCACCATGGGCTGTGGTTGGGGTTGGGTCCAAGGGAGGGCCCCGCAGACAAGTGGGTGAGGGTGGGAGTGGTCTGGGGAGCAGACTGGTCCAGCCGAGGCTGCCAGGCAGCCTCCGTTTTGAATGCTGGCTTAGCCCCGATGACCCTCTCACCTTGAGGACCTCTCACTCCTCCTGAAGATGTCTGCGTCCAAGTGGTTTCTTCCCTCCCAGGCTCACCCACAGCTCCTGGGCTGGCACTTTCTGGACTGGTCCACTGCGCCTCAGCTCCCCGTCTCATCAGCATCGGGCCCATGCTCTAGCCTCCTAAATTCACAGCCCTGTCCTCCCCTCTTGCTTTCACCTTCACCCTAAGACCCTGTGTCTCCATAAGCCAGCCAGGCCATCAGAGGTGACCAGGACAACGGCTGCCCGCTCAGCTCACCCTCTGTCCTCTCGCTGATGTTCTGGTTTCTCCCTGTTTTGTCACACATGGGGACATGGTGTTGTGAGAGCACCCACTGAGCATGCATGGAGTTTGCCCTGGTCACGGTGCTGCGTGCAGGACACAGACATGGGCCGTGACTACCTCCCCGCATATGTTCCTGGCAGAGGGGATGGGGGTCCTGGCCCAGGGGATGGGGGGTCCTGGCCTCTGTCCTCATGTAGGGATGAGGATGAACTCGAAGAGCATCTCGTGGCTCTGGTCCAGCTGTTAGCGCTCCCCTCTCTGTTATGGAGCGGGACAGACACCAAGCCCCAGCTCTGGCACAAGAGTGAGCATTCTGTCTTCAGGGTGGGTGGGGTTTAGTACCAAAGACAGGGTGCCCGTGGGGTGTGCCTCTGCCCAGGGCCCTGACAACGGGCCAGTTGGAAATGCTAGGATTTTCTGGTTCTCTGGTTCTCAAGCCGCATGGTGATGAGACTTAGAAAGTTCTGGAATTAGTAATGAGTTTTCAGGACTTTGGAAAATGGATTTGAGGCCTCAGCTATCCGGGGTCCTTGTGGCTCTGCTCAGTGTCCTCTCCAGTGCCCCCCAGAACCTTTTGGCCTTCTAGAGGTGCCCCCTAGGGAGGGGCTGCATGCAGGAGATGGCAGGAGGTGGCAGCACCCATGGGGGCAGGTCTCCCTGGAGACCTGAGAACTCAGCATGGCTTTTGTCATGACCACGGACCATGGTTCTCATTCAGGCATAGAGACCCTGTGGCTGTTCACACCTGAGGAAGGTGGGGCTTCTTTAAGGGTGGTGGTGGTGGTGGTGGTGGTGTGACCAGGTGCATTGGGCTCTGGGCCAGCTCAGGGGGAGACCAGCTCTGAACAACTTAAGCCCCAAACGGATCTGGACCACAGGTGACCAGTGCACATTTCTTAGCTTCTAGTGCCACCTGCTGGAATTTTGGGGAATTACACCCGGCGGCACCCAGGGTTTCCTATTCCTTCGGCTATAGCACTGGGGGCTCACTCCTCCCAGCAGGGCATTGGGTTCTCAGGACATGTGTCCTGGGCCCTTCCCAGTGTCACTCCCATGCTCCCCACGCTGGATGGAGGGACATGAGGGGACACTGTAGACCTGAAGGCCAGGTTTCTGGGATCCTGGGGTAGGAACAGATCTATGGAATCGGGAGTTGCCAGTCCTCCTGTTTGGACACCATGTGGCTTTCCAGGGCCACACGACTAGGACCTTGGCCCTGGAGATCTGTGCTGTCTATTCAACTTCCCCCAAAGCCCACAGTCACTTCAGGACGCCAGGCTGGGAGGGGACAGGCAAGAATGCCCACTTATGGTAGACTTGCCCAGACGGGTGCCAGCATCTTCCCTGGCACCCCAAGATCCGAGTTGTGTGGGGGCACAGGGACCCCCAAACTCTGTTGAAAAATCGAGGAGCCTCAGCTGACTCTGACCCTGGTGACCTTTACTGTGAGGTGCAGGTGGAGTTGCCGAAGGACCCTTTCCACCTGAGACAAAGGTCCCAGGATCCATGATGTTCCAGGCCTGTTTTCACATCCCCACAGTCCCCACACCCTCTTCTCCCCGCACGTCCCCCCTCCCTTTTCCCCATCCTCATCCTCGACATGTTCCTCACCACAGTCCGGGACACGGCCGAACTCCAGGCGCCTGTTCACCTCAGATTTGGGTAAAATTCCAAGGAGGAGCTGAGAGCCTCCGGTTACACTCTGGGCTCTGGGGAAAGTCACTTCTAACATCCCTGTGCCTCTAATGTCCGCCCTCACTGCTTATCAAGTGTCAGGTGACCACCACCGTGATGTGGGACAAGGCCAGCCCATCCCCCCCACCCCCGTCATCCATCCATCGCCTGCTCCTCTGTCTGTCCATCCAGCCACCCAGTCCACTCCATATATGACTGAGTGCCACTGAGGTCAGGGGCTCTGGGCCATGTCCTCACCTCCTCACCCCACCTGTAGTCACTTCTCTCAAACTGGTCTCAGTCCCTAACTCACACCTTTGTCCCTCTGCTCGCCATCACATTGCTCCAAAATCCAATGATCTGAACGCTGACACACTGGAGACACCACCGATCCGTGTAAATTCCACAGAACCCGCAAAGCAGCTGCCGCCCTGCAGGGCTCTCTCCCAATCTCTGTCTCTCTCTCCTCATCTCTCTTCTCTCCCACTGTCTCTCTCTCTGTTCCCCAACACCGCTCACCTGGCCTCACAGGTGAGCACCCACCACCAGCGTGAACATGTCTGGGCTCCCTTGACTTGGGGTTGTTCCTCCCGCTGGTCTCTTCTGGAGGGTGGTCCCCATGTGGTTTCCTCCTCTGGGACCCCTCAGGCGCATGGGCAGCATGGCCTGTGAGCCGGCCTCCCCTGCCTGCCCTGGTCCCTCTGTATCTTCAGCTTCCCTCGCACCCACTCACAGCAGCCGTAACCTGACCTCCTGGCACTCCCTCCATCTCACTGGCTCCCTCCCCAGGATAGCTGCCATGCTGACCCATAAGCTGGGCATCTGCACGAGGCACACAGTGGACTCCCAGTGTGTGTGTGTGTGTGTGTGCCCGCGTGCGTGTAGGGAGGGTGAGGTGGAGGGGGGCGGAGAGCAGGATGGTCCCTTCTCTGTGGAGCTCCCAGCAGCCAGAAGATCCAGGACACAAGCAAACCATTGAAATGCAAGTCCCAGGCCCCCAAATGCAGAAGTAACCTTCAAGTCCTACGGGCTGGGTCAGCCACTCATCAGAACTTCTGGGGCTGACAAGGCTTCCAGGGCTTAGAAGTGTGAGTGGCCCAGGTGCCCCCAGACCTGATGGCCCTGTCACCTGGCCCAGTGCACACACATCCCCACGAGGACACCCGGCTCGGGGGCATGACCGCCACCTGCCAGCTCCCTGGGGCCTGACAGCAGCTCCCCAGGTGGACACCGTCTTCACTGCCCAGATGGAAACTCTGATTTGGACGTAGACAATCTTGGTTTCCTGAAGCCGGCTGACCCATCTACTCCAATGGGCCCAACAGGAACCCAGGGCTGTGTGTCCCTTCCCACTTCTCCTATTCCTGTTTGTCACAATGGAGCTGGCGGCCAGAGGGTGTGGTGTATTGAAAGGAGTGGGCTCCTAGGCCACCTTCTTCAGTCTGCCAGGTACCCAGTGAAGCCTGGGTTCCAGCGCTACCATCACCTGCTTGCTGCTCTCAGCTGGAGGCAGGAGGCCCAGGTCAGCCCAGACCTGGAGGGACCTCTGGGAACCTTAATGCAGAGGCAAACCAGCCACAAGTCCCATAGCTGCTGTTGGGCCGAGACCAGTGAATAGCGACATCTTGTGGTGGCACTGGGAATAGCTCCCCGAGGTTGCAGGCAAGCTTTTGTCTGAGGCCCAGTGCCAGGTGGTGGTTGGCCAGCTTCCTGGATCAGACTGTAGCTCTGGGTGGGGCCAAGGACACTACAGATGGATGAGCAAACTGCAGGCCCAGCACTACCCTCCACCAGGTCTGGGACATGAAGGACACCAACAGACCCAAAATGCCTGGTTCAAGGCCTGAAGCCTCAGTTTAGGAAAGTTAGCTAGGTAGCCTGACACACCAGCCAGGAACCCCCAGACCACTCTCTCCCCTCCCCACTTCCTAGCAGCGGGAGGGGTAACTTCTTATCCAATGAAAATGCTGTTTAACAGCAGAAGCAGGCGCTCGGAGGTGGGGGTGACGCTTGGGGACAGGCCTTCCTGTTCTGGGTCAGGTGAGAGTGTATGGTTGCAACTTGAGCAGCCAGGGACAGGGCGCCCAGCCCAGACATGGCTTTACGGTCAGGTGTGATGTCCCACGAGTGAGGACAGAACTTTAGCAACAGGTGCCACAGCTGCCGCAGGAGAGGTGCAGGAAAGCCACCTCAGTTCACTCCACTGAGTGTGAGGTGCCATCTCCTCATGTCACTGGAGCACCAAGCATTGGGCCAGAAGGAGGTGAGCATGTGAATGGGCCACCCCACAGGGAGGGGCCATGGGTGACACACACATGGTCCCGAGGAGCTGCAGGACATACACACTGCATTTCAGCGCCTGCGTTTTATTCCAGTTCAGTAGGAATGACTTTCTGCTGTAACATCAAAGAAAACGCTTGAATGTTTGGAAACTGCTAAGTATTAAATAAGCTTTCGTTTTAATTTTCAGAAACCAGAGTAAGATGAATGCTTTACAGTAACAGTGAAATAATTAGAGCTCATTTGCCACAGAAGCGGAAGCCAGTCCGATATGAAAAGGAAGGGATGGGGTGCCGCCTGGCATGGGAGGCGCCTCCTGCAGCCGCCCCCGCAAGGGCAGAGCTCCTTGGGGTCCGTGCTCATCCTCCTGTCCCGGGAGCCACCGCACCTGCACCCGGAGCCCGTGGTGCCACAGGTGCTGTGCTAGGAGGTCAGCTTGGAGTAGCTGGGCGGGGAGAGCTTGCGCTTCAAATACTTGAGGACGTACAGTGGGAGGCAGCTGACCACGGTGATGGCCGACACCTTCCACAGGAAGGTCATGGTGGTGATGAAGGCGAGGTCTGCGGGAGAAACAGGCGGGTGTGAGAGGCCGTCAGGGAGGCCGCAGGCGCCCATGGCACACCGGCCCCACCTGCAGTGCACCCGAACCACTCCAGCGGATTGCAGGTTCTTTCTAAAGCACTGCTCTGCCTGCGCTCCAGGGAGAATGAACTCTCTTAACGGTCATGGGAGCACATTAGAGTGTGACCTGCGCCACCCAAGCCGGGCGGTGGCAGCCACTCGGCACCGAGTGCCGGTCCAGGAGGAACCCCGGCAGCAGGAGGGACCCTGTGATGAGCCAGCTGCCCAGGCCCCCCTTTTCCTCCAGGGACAGCCGCTGGGCCACAGGTGCAGGGCCACAGCAGGCGGTGCTGTCACTGCTCGCCTGTCTTCCTGTCCCTCGGCCTCAGCCAGGGAAGCGCAGCGGTGGCCCTGCTCTGGGGCCGTGACAGAGCTGCAGCCTAACGGCGGGCGGTCTGACTTTCTTACGGGAAGAGGCACATGAAAAACCAGTCATTTACAGTGTTCGCCTTTCCAAGTGGCAGAAACCCGTGTGTTGTCAGAGGTGGGATGAGACCTCCTGATGCATCCCTGCACCCCCATGGTGCTGGTGACATTCCACCGGGCAGGCACGTTTCCCTCCTGAAAACCTGCTGGAGAGCCGGGTCTGGCGCAGCCCCATGTCCCTGAGCAGCCCTGCCCTGCATTCTGCTGCAGTGGGAATAGTCACCACCCCACTGCCCGACGCTGAGGACGAAGAGCCACCTGTAGCATGGACCACACTCCTTCTCTTCTCTTTGCCCGATTTAAATCTTAAAGAGGCTCACAAGTCCTGTCAGACACAGCCATCGATTGGGGTCACACAGGGAAATCTCTCTCAGTCTCGGCTGGAAAGGCCTGAAACTGGAAGAAGGGTGACTGACGAGCAGGGTTCCATCAGGGTCAGGCGAGGGCGGATTGCAGGGTGCTGCTGTCTTGGGCAGGGAGGAGGACTGTCATGTGCCAGCTGCCACCAGGCCTGTGCCTGTGATGGGCAGTCACTCCTGTGTCCCTGAGCTCAAAGGAGAAGCATCAGAGGTCACCTAAGTGTGAAGATGAGGGTGAGTCTGGTCGGAGAGCATGGGGACAGCCACCCCCTGACACTCATCCAGGGTCTCAGTCACTGTCAGCTCTCGTGAAGCATCACGGGCCCTGGCTGGGGATGGCAGAGCTGGGAGGGCGAGGGGGGGACCACCGAGTGTGTGACGCCACGCCACAGTGCCGGCGAGGGGCTGATACCATTGTGCTGGCAGCTGACCTGCTGGTGGGGCTGAGGCCATGCACATGGTGTCCTGTGTGTGCGGGAGGACAGCGGGAGATGTCAAACACAGAGCCCTGGTGTGAAGGGGTCTCCATGTCATGGTCACTATCTCTTTAAAAGCCAAGATGGTGAATGCCTTGATTTTATAAATTATTATAAGGAGTTTAATCTTTCCCCAAATAAGCTTGTTTGAAGCATTCTGATGTGGGTTTTACTGTGAACTGCAATTTAGACAATGTATAAAGAAGTGATAATAAAAAATGTTTAAAAATAAAAAACAATTATCCAGAAATAATTCCAAGGCAACTTACCAAAATACTCATTTAGAAAAGCCAGAGAGGCCACGTAGCAGCCGAGGCTGAGGAACTCGGCCACGACCATCAGCCAGTGCCACGTGCGGACGGTCAGCGCCACCATCAGCAGCTCCGTGAGGATGAGGGCCGTGAACGAGATGGCCACGACGTGGACAAACTCCGACTCAAAGAGCACCAGCGCCCCGTACATGAGAATGCCGCCTGGAAGACACAAGGGTGCCGAGTGTGGCTTTTCCATGACAGACTTTCTGGGGGACTGGAGATCCTGTTACTACGTGAGGAGCTAGAAAAGGGCCATGAAGAGCTGGTTGGCGTTTATAAGAGTCGTGGGCTACAAACGTCCCAACCTCCCACGCTATTCTCTTAAACTCTGGCTTATGAGAGAAGTGCCTGGAGAAGGAGGCCTCCACTGCAGTTAGTGAGGCCAGCCTGAGCCTCGCTGCAGTAAGTCTGGTCTCCAGTAATCTTACTTCCAACCACCTCTCATTTGTCTGGAACTACACAGGGCGGCTGGCAACCTGTGACCACTCGACTCAGATTCTCCACGTCCCGCTGTCTCTCCTGGAAAGAACCACTGTGATAAGTGCTTGTTAAAGTGTTTCTGGATTTACATTTCATTAAAAACAGTAAGTTTTTAGGTAGCAATCATCGGTTAACAAAATGCTGCACAGCGAAGGGCCTGGCGGACAGCTGCGGAGGGCGATCACTAGATGGACAGGAATGTGGTTGTGAGTGGGACTGGGACTGGGAGACAGGCATCACTGCAGGGGCAGCGCTCTTACCTTGGTAAATGCTGATTAACACCCAGACGAGGAATGTTTTAAAGGACAAGGACCGGCCCTGGGGAAAAAGCAGAGAGCGAGTTAACCACCACATCTCCCATGGCTCAGTCTGGTGACTCCTGCAGGCACAGGCCCACTCATACTCGATTCCCCCATCCTGCTGAGTTGGAGCTCCCATCTGTGCGCTCGGGGAATGGGTGCGGCCTCTCTGAGCCGTCTGGGGTAGGTCTGTCTAGGCAATTAAGCTGGGGCAGTGCAGTCAGAACCCACCAGAAGCACCTACTGAGGGACGGTACATGTGTGTGCAGGGCTGGGGCAGAAACACCGGGAACCAGCGGCTCTGACTCAGTCAGAGGGCGACTGGGAGACGCTGTGGCTGAAATGCCTGCCAGCTGGTGTGTGAGGACAAAGTCCAGGGCGAGGCAGAGGCAGTTCCCGAATTCCCCTCACTGTGGCTTTTGTTTCTTGTCTGGGGCTTGGTTTCTCCAAGTCCCAGCTCCGTTCCCTGAGGGCCGCGTGCAGCTCCTGGTGCTCGCTGGGAACTCTCAGGTGGGTTCCTGCTGTCAATACCCAGTAGTCAGAGCGCTCCCTCACTTCCTGGACATGGGTGAGGATGGCCCCCACACGCCCACACACGTGCATGTCCTGTTCCTTCTGCCGGTGCCTCGCTGGCCCAGCGAGCCCTTCCGTCCCTTCTTCAGCTTTGGCCTTGCCTCTCATCAGCCAGCAGTGTGCCATCCATGTGTTCGGACTAGTTTTCCTGCGAGACACTCACCGGCTGCAGCCAGGGCTCCTGTGAGCTCGCGGCCCCCAGCCTTGCCACAGACTCAGTCAGACACTTTCTCAGGGACCACTGCATGGTCCATCCCCGCCTGCCTGCCCCCGCCAGCATAGAGGTGACTCGTCTCTCCTAGGGTGAGCTGCATTTGTCAGTCTGCGTCCCATGCGTCTCTGGGTTCCGACCAACAGACACCATAGGCCCCTGAGTTGAGCCGACAGCTCTCTTGCCCAATGCCCCGCCAGCCACCCTCCCACCCCAAACCTGGGGCAGCCACTGACCTGCTCCCTGCCCCAGAGGGTCACATGCTGGGATCACACACGTTTGAGCCTGCTTTGTGTGTGGCCAAGTGCACTTCAGCATCAGCTGTGCTGATGAGACGGCTCCCCCCACCCTCTCACTGTCCTGTGTGGGCACCGTCACTGGGTGAAGGGCACCTGGTCATTCCCAGGCTGGGCCATTAAGATAAAGGTGCCACCGAGCTCTGTGCACAGGGTTCTGTGTGAACACACACGTTCTTCCTCCTGGGGCTGCCGGGTTGATGGCACGTGCACGCTTCACTTTGTAAGACATGGCCAAGCTCTGTTCCCGAGGGGCTGGGCGCTGGCATCCCTCGGCAGTGAGAGGGGCCCTGCTGTGTCCACCCAAGCACGTGGTGGTGCTGGTGTTCCAGGGTTTTGTCCTTCTCAGACTTCATGGTCACGTCTCTGGTTTTAATTTTAATTCCCTATGAAATGGCATTGATCATTTTTGTGAGCCTACTTGCGCCGGCCCCGGTCTCCTATCCACTGAGAAAACAAATTCTGTTCTTTTTTAGTTTGGAGGTTCTCTGTATATTCTGGTACAAGTCCTCCATCAGAGATGCCATCTGCAGACACTTCCTGTGTCTGAGTTTGTCTATTCACTCCCTGAACAGGCCCTGCACAGAACAGCAGTGTTTAGTGATGATTAAGACCAATGTGCCCATTTTAGGAGTCATGCTCTGACCCTGTCTAAAGCTCTGCCTGATTATAGTCGAGCATGTTTTCTTCTGCATGGTTGAGTCTCACCTTTCAGTCAGGTCCTCATCCATCCTGAGGGCATTTCCATGGCAGGCGTGGGCGCGGGCGAAGGGTCCGCTCCTGCCTGTGGGTGCCCGGTTGTGAGCACATCGGCTGCTGGCAAGACGACCCTTCCTCCTCTTGTTTCCTTTTATGTTTGTCAAAGAATGACTGTTGCATTTGGCTGTATTTCTGGCTTTTGATTCCAGGCCACTCTGTCTGTCAATCCTGTGCTGTGACTGCTGTTTCATAGAAAGTCTTCTAATCTTGTTCTTTTCCAAAACCGTTTGGTGGTTCTGTTCCCTTAACTGTCCATATAAATCTTAGAATCTGCTGGTCAAGATCCCTCAACAGTCTGTGAACATTCATTTACCCCTTCAAATTTCTCCCTCAGTGGTTTAGTTTTCAGCATACACACTGAGTGGCCAGATTATTATGATCTCTGAGTGCATAATAATCTGGCCACTCAGAGTGAGTGTGTGTGTGTGTGTGTGTGTTAGAGGCCCAGTGCATGAATTCGTTCATGGGTGAGGTCTGGCCAGTCTGGCCAGGGGAAAGGGACATGGGGGGTTGGCTGGCCTGCTTGCTGGTCGAACTCCTGGTCCAGGGGACAATTTGCATATTAGCCTTTTATTATATAGGATATACACTTAGTGGACAAATTATTATTCGTTCAAAGATCATATTAATCTGGCCACTCAGTGTAATATCTTACATGTATTTTGCTAGTTATACCAGCAAAATACGATATGATAAACAGTATTGTTTGCTCATTGCTAACCATAGGTTTAAGTGGTTAAGATACCTTTTCCTTGGATCCTGCACCTTCTCAAACCTCCTCGTATAAAAGGTTTTGTATGGATCACTTGAAATTTTCTACTCAGACTGCTATGGCAATAGCACAGATATTTTTATTTTTTCCTTCTAATGTCCATGCCTTTAATGTCCTTTCCATGCCTTATCACTATTATTTTAAAAACTATATAGGTGCAAATATACATTTCAAAAGTTAAACCATGTTGAGACTGGTTGAACAGGAAATAGAGGTAGTGAAGCAGTCCTCACGTCCAACGTCTGATGATTCAGACTTTTACCGAGGACAGCACAGCGTCACCTACTCGGTAACTTGACCATTAGCACAACTACACCCAGATGTCTCTCTGGTTAGCAGTTTATCATGAATGGAAAACCATGAGCTGGGAACTGAAATCACAGCTGATGTCTGAGACACTTCTGGCTCTGCTGAGGCAGCGCTCCGGCACTGACATATCTTAGTCCCGACCCTGAGCCCCGGCGCAGGGCTTTTCACAAGAGGTCCAGGCCCTCAGGACCACAGAGCCGGCTGCAGGCAGGAGAGCAATGAGCACATGCCCAGTCCTGCAGCACCCAGCACCAGTGACTGCACTGAGGGATTACTGTCATGATCACATCTTTTTCTGTAGGAATGAAGATGCTGTGGTGTTGGCAAGAAGGCGCAGTCACATCTTTGTTTAATCGATCTGAATACTGAGGGAGCAGACCCCACTTCCCAGCGCAAAGCCCCGGAGGCGGCACGGTGTGCAGAGCAGCTCTGGGCATCTCGTCGACAGTAAGCCAGACCCGCGATGCCTGGGCCGCTCACCCAGATCAGAGACTGTTTACAAAGAGGTATAAGCACAGATGCTTATTTCAAAGCACAGTGCTTTCCTCCACTTTGCCTGGGATGTGTTCTCTGCATGCCTGATGACCTCTAAAGGTGTTTCACGTTCTCTGTGACCTGGATTTCTGTTTACAGCTTACTAGAGAGTTCAGTCCCTGGACAGTATGAATACCCTGCCTGCCCTTATTCATTGTGCTGCTGCACAGCTACCATTGCCACGGCCTGTACTCACGTTTCCCTCCAGTTGCACGTGGGCTGCTGGGCCAGGAGCCATGTCTTACACGCTTTCACCAGCCCCGCACAGAACCCTCACCACACCTGCCACAGGCAGAGTCATAGATGCATGTTGCCCATTTCCTGCCAGCACTGACAGCACAGCATTAGACTGACTTGGTTGAGCGTCCAGCGTCACAAACTCTCTCCAGTGCCAAGAGGAGAAGCACGTTGGGTCTCACCAAGTCAAGTAGTGAGCACGTTAAGGCTACTTTCTACTTTGTTTTCAAAAGATGTGATGTGTATGAGATTTTTAAAGACATACATACTATAAGGACAAGAAGCATAGGTTTTGGATCTTATAGAAAAGGAGCCTGGAGGAAAGAAGTGACTAAACCATTATAAAAAGATTCAGTGTCCTGACTTTAGGGTACTGAAATATACTAAATCGCTGGTCAGCATGAGAGAATGGGAAGCTAGCACCTTAAATTCAACTTAGTCAGATTTGAACAAGGTTTCCCAACATCCTCACATGTTTAACCCATCAGCCAATGGCACTGACTTTATGGTTGAGAGGAGTCAGCTGCTCAGCTCAGGGGCTGGTGACCCTGTGAACATGTTCTGCCACTGGAGTGACTCCCAAAGCCATCGAGGGATGCTGCTGGTGGGCACAGTCTAAGCCCTAAACACTGGAGGCCAATGTGCCTGCTGTCTCACTGCCAGTGACCGCCAGGTGCCGACTGAGCTGCTGAGAATCCTACACTGACCATTGGGCAGCTGGTCTGGGTTGACCTGCAAGACTCAACTGTCTATTTTCTGGGTAGCTCACCTAATTTATATTCTACATAAAAGCTCATTTCCCTGTATTTCTGTGAGCAGTATGTAAGTGTTTACAGGCTTGGAAACAGGGAAGTATCTACTAAAATCACAATTATTTGCAATAGCTTCCTATGGGTTTTGAATTTCTTACCCTATTCTACTTCACTGAATGGTAATGATTTCACCATTTCAGAAGGTTAATCTAAAATCTTTTTATTCTAGTTGTAATATTCACAATATTATCATCATAACCATAATGTTTGCTATTTTATCTTATTGTATACTATATTGGTGAGCTAGCTCTATTTCTGTCCTATCAGAGTAATATGGGATTTTGTACACCAGATCCTCACAGCAACTCCATGAAGTCAAGCTAAGCACCACTATGACTGGACAGGGATCTGGGACTACAGGGCACTGGTTTGTGCTCAGTGAGGTTTCTTTTTTGCTGCCCCATATGCCACTGTCGCCTTAGAAACAGATTATCAACTGTAAACCTAAATTTATTTTGAGGATTAGTGGACTTTGCTCTCAGTGTTGGTTCAGGAAAAGCAAGCCTTCTAGAAGATTCCAAAGTCACTATAATTTATATTTGGATGTAGAGTGTTTTTTGTGCTATAAAAAGATAGCACAAAAAACATGATAAGCTAAAAACGTCTTCCAGGATGATTTTAACCTTAACAGTACAATTTTAGGTAAATAAGCGAATCTTTTGCATAGTTTCAGGGGCTGGAGTTTTGTGTGGCAGCATCATGGCAACCACGGCACATGGGTCTTGGGGACAGAAGCAAGTCTTACACAGGTGTGATCCTGCAGCCCCCTGCAGATATAGGTGACTCCTGGGGTCCTAACTGCTAGAATGCTGCCTGTGCCTGACAGACGGGTGTGAGGGTGCCAGGTGGAACCACAACTGGGAAAGGAGCTCCTACGAGCCCAGAGGTGAGAGTGTCCTTAGATTAGGACTTTGTTGTGACATCAGAGCGTCATCACCAATGTCTGAGAAAGCTTTTTTGCTGGTTATGTTTTCCTATTTTGAAGGTTAACTCAAAAGAAAAATATCAAAACCAACTAGGAGAAATAAAAAATGTCTGGAAGAACAGACAACAGATTTAAACCTGCTGGGAAACTGCCTCAGGGGGGAACCTTTTCTCTGGTAAGTGTTCTTGTGGAACACCTGAGTGTCTGCAAGGCTCGGGAGGTGCTGGCCTGGCCGTACCTTGGTGAGGTCCTTGTAAAGCTCTGGGTACAGCATGGCCATGTCTGGTTTCACGTCCTGGTCCAGCACCAGTGAGAACACTGGAAACATGGTGTAGATGGTCGCGTACCTGAGAGCCCAGAGGAGAGTGAGGTTAGCACGAGGAGCGTTCCACACGACTAGGAACACTCTCTGCAATCAGAGGCCAAAGGTTATAAAACTAAATAGAACAAACACAAGGTGGCACTGAAACTCAATGTTCATCCCACTCACCGCCCAGCACCACAGTCTGCAAGCCACACAGGCACAGGTGGCAGGACCCGGTTTTCCTTCCTCATTAAACATTCTGAGATTGTTGTGCACCCATGTGCAGGGATCAGATGTAACACAGAGAGCCTGTGCCCTTTAACCAGCTGCAGCCTACTCACAGCCAGAATAGGGACAAGGGCACAGTACAGACATGGGCAATCTGCACTCAGGCCCTCCTGCCACTTCTTCCCTCCCAGGCCCCTCAGCCCCTGGCCACCACTAATCTGTTCACTTCAAGGTGCACACACGCGTCACATAGCAGGTAGCCTGTGGGAGGCACTTTCACTCGGCCCGATTCCCTGCAGAGATGTAAGACTGCTGTGCCAACATTCCCTCCTTTTGATTGTCCGTGGTTGTAGACTTAGCAGTCTCTGTGACCAGACCATTCACTGAGGTACATCCCGGTCATTCCAGTTTCTGGTTATTACAACTAGAACTGCCATAAACATTAAGCACAGATATTTTTTTTGGTAAAAATAAGTTTTCACTTATTTTGGATTGGTGGTGTGTGGTTTTTGTAAGACCCTGCCGCACAGTGCACCAGTGTGGCTGTCCATTTCACGTTCCCACCAGCAGTGTGGGAGGATGATTTCTCCGCGTTCTCTCTGTGGCTGGCACTACCACAATGGTCCCAGCTGCTCAGATGGTTAGTGGTGTCTCACTGAGCTTTAAGTCTGCTTTTCCACAGCACTGCCACTGAGCAGCTCTGCACCTGCTCTGGGAGAACTGCTGTTCCCGTTGGTGGGTTGAGCTAAGTGGGACTGTCCTAGGCTGTGGAGTCCTGCGAGGCAGTTATGAGCTCCTTGGCCTGTGGCAGCATACACTTCCTGAAGTTCCAGAGCTGCCTTCACTGCATGCAGCTCCAGGTGTCTCCCGCCAGGACACCGCTGTTGCTGAACTTTTCTTCCCAGAGACGTCTTCTCTCTGCCTGCTATAAGGTGTTTGTCTTTAGTTTTCATGTGTCTGATGACGTGACTTGGTGGATTTCTTTGGATTGAGGCCGCTTGGTGTTTGGTTACCTTCCTAAATCTATAGGTTTGTCTTTTGTGAAATTTGGGAAGTTTCTGGCCATTTTTTCCTTGAGTCCTTTTTTGGCCCTGCCCTCTGTCCTCTTTCTGAGACAATAGGGACAGGCATGGGAGATCTGTGTTGCCTGCGGCCGGAGGAAATGTACTGACTGTGTGTTTGCTCCGTGCTGACCGCTGCAGAAGTGGCTGGGAAGGCAGCGTGTGTCACTGTCTGAGCTGTCCTGGATGTGCCTCCTACCAGCCCCGTGGCCTTGAGGCATTCTGGGCTCGTTGGATCTCTGCTGTCACCCATGACGTGGGGATGCTGCAGGGAGGGGATGGCTTCAGAACAGCTGGGAGCCTGTGTGCTCACTGCCGCTGCTGTAGGAAAGCCCTGGCCCGTGAGTGGCAGGGTCTGCGGTGGCCAGGGAGGAGGATGTTGGGAGAGAACGAGAGAAGAGACTATGGAAGGACCCTTGGTCCTGGGACGGTGATGGGCTGTTGTTCTCTCTTAATGACACACAGGATGCTTTCAAACATCTTGGATCTGACATATTCCTGACATATGTTATGACTTTGCCGTGAAAACAGAAATTCTAATTAAATGGTAAAATTATAAGAGGGATGGCAAGTGGGTGTCGTCCCCATATTCACGCAAGCAGAGCCTCACTCCTTCTTCAACAACAACATGTAAACACTGACTGTGCATGGCCACTCAGGCACCTGCTGTGTGGGCTTCTCCTTCCCAGTACTTACCCCACCATGAGGAACCCCTGGTACAGGGGGACGGAGGCGAAGTAGCAGACGGAGGAGAACACAGCCTTGGAGAGAGGACAAGGCAGTAGTTAGTCATGGGCCTTCCCGACCCTCCCTACCTTTCCATGACTCCCATGGCGCCTGCGCACCTGCATGGTGGAGATGATGAGGCCCCTGTGCATGACGAACTGACCGAGTGCCGCAGACCTCTTGTAGCTGCTCCGCCCGTGCACCATGAGCAGCCGGCCAATGTGCTTGAATTGCGTGATGGAGAAGTCAGCTGCCAATGAGGCTGCCTTCCCCTCCTGCAATGTAAAGGTGCCTCAAAAACCGCACAGCGGAGCACATGTGCAGAGCTCCACTAAGAGAACATTGAGACCCTCGGCCCCACTGTGAGGAGTGGCCTCTGGGGCAAGTGACGGGGCTGCAGGGACAGCTCCTCGGAGGGGCAGGCAGTGCATAGCACTAGGAACTGATGACGGGAAAAGGGCGCTGGCCAGGAAGCCAGGACCATTCTTTTGGTCTCTGTCAGAATCACAGAAGTTCAATCGAGGTAGAACATGGCAGTGCTGCCCAGGAGACGGGCCCAAGGATCTCGGGAACCTTCAGGATGACTGTCTAAGCTTCAGTTCTCTTGCATCTAAATGCCATCCACTTGCCATCTCACAAAGCCTCTGAGTGTAAGTGAGGGAAGCCCTTCAAATACTCTGCCAACACACAGCTGTCAGCAGAGGAGTGGAGAGCCAGACAAAAGTTGGAAGGCAACCTCCTTCGTTTCTGGGGTGTCATTATGTGAGCGTAAAAGACAAAGCCCAAACCACAGCACACAGTTGGCCAGGAGACACGGGCATTGAAAATGACCATCTGTCAAGCCCGAGAGAGAAGCTGCAGGTCCCACGGCAACCAAGAAGGTTTGCTGGAGGATGTGATGACATCTATGGGGAGGGCCCAGAGGTCATGTGAGGACAGTGGGAACCCTGGAGGGTATTGGCATTGTCCTGCTTGCTTTCTACCTCCATTTCATTTAGGTGATCATAGAGTGACTGACTGGCCCTTGCCCACATGTGTGCCTGGGAGCCTGGCACAGAGAAGGCCCGCAAACAGGTGCTGACTGAAGGCATGCTCGAGACACTGCTGTGACAGGATAAGCGTACCTTCCCCTCAATCCCAATCCCACAGTCTGCGGCCTGGATCATGCTCACGTCGTTTCCACCATCACCTGGGGAGCACCAACAAGAGAAGAAATAAACAAACCTATCCATAGCCCTATTTCCCTCTTTTACCAGCAGAAGCTGTGTTAGAATGTCCCACAATAGATATTAAAGCAAACTGGTATTGGAGGTCGAACAGAACTTTGCCTGTAAACATTAAGATACCAGTTTCTCTTAAGTTACTCTACAGGGACTGTGGGGAGTGTGGCCCCAGGTGCGGTGTGGGGAGGGGAGGGCAGGGGCTCACCAATGGCGCAGGTGCGCTTGCGCGTGTGCTGCTGCAGGAGTTTCACGATGTGAGCCTTCTGGGTGGGCGAGCAGCGGCAGCACACCACAGCTGGGCACTGGCAGGCCAGCTCCACAAGTTCGTGCTCGTAGTACCGCAGGCACACCTGGAACACAGACCCAGTCATACCGACCTGCAGCTATGGTGGCCAATCCAAGCATGCAAGGTCTTCCCCACTTCCCGGCGGGTGAGGAGCCACAGGTACTGCACAGCACTTCTTCAGGCTCTGCCTGCTCACAAACACACCCACCAGGCCACAACGAGACTACTTAACAAGTCACAAAGATGTGCAAAAGGAGCCTGAGTTACATATCTGACTCAGAAGGCCTTCAGTCCACTAGCAGGAAAAGCAGACACATGCTGGGCCAGAGATACGGACAGGTGGGCAGACAGATGGCCACGTGCTGGGCTAGAGACCAGCCTTACCTCCAGGGAGTCCCCAGATATGACTAGCGCACAGTCATGCTTCCTTCGAAAGGCATTCAGCTCCAAATGGGCCTCTCCTCGACTGGCTACCTGCAAAAAGGGGAGAGGGCACCAGAGTACAGTTGTTGAAACCAGAGGCACTGACAAGCACTTATTTACAAGCCACAGTGATGTTGTTAAACACATGATCTAAAACCCAAAGTGCCTGCCACATGGAGTCCTGTAAGGAGCAGCTCTTTCAAACCTCTCTGCAGTGCTAGGAACACACACCTCCTCACCTAACACTGATTGTTTTCTGACAAGTGGTAAAGTGCAGAAAAAGCATTGCAATTACAATAAAACACAATGGACAAAAGAAGAAGAACTGGGTAACCTAGGCACCTAGGAGCTAATGACTGCCTTGCCTTCTGTCACTACAGTCCCACAGGATGCCATGGTAACCACTGATTAAGTCTGTGGTACGTCCATACAATGATACTCCAGTGCAGCAACAGAGGAGCCCAGGGAGCTGAGCTCCTCACAGGAGACTCAAGGTCAAGGTCTGATTGAAAGACCCTCTTTTCCTAATACACCACTGGTGCAAATGCTTTCCTGAAGTCGCTTTTCTTATCTGTGTCACAGTTTTCAACTTATTCTATTAGTTCACTTCAACAAATACATGAAAGATTAAATGATTTAAAAGATTAAAATCAAGTCATAATGTTCAAATGTCATTAATTTTAGAAGGAAAACATTAACTGGTTTTTGATATTCTTTCTGTGGAGATTTTATGGGGCATAAAAGAAATGATATATTATAGTACTGAAATAAATTAAAAGTTTCATGCAGTACAAATTAATCTCAGACTCATCTTTAAATAGGTAGGTTTTATTGTGGAAATTTTAATTTGTGGTGCTATAACACAGAAAAGTCAACAAAAATTGATCTGACGTTTTACCAGAATCATTAATAATTTAATTGCAAATAGTCGACTGCAGGGCCTAATTTGCGATTCTGATGTTTTGAAATAAACTACATTTACATGTAAATGATATTCAAATAACTATTTCTATAGGTACAAGCGCTGCATTTAAAGCAGACGCAGACACACAGTGTCTGTTCACCCACTATCAATCAAGACTCAAGAAACTTTTATTTTTTGTTTGATTAAATGGAAAATAATTAATACATACAGTGAACACATAAATTTAGCTTATCTCTATTAAATTTCTTTGATCTAATTAAGGAAGAGCATTTGCTTGGAGAAAGGGGCAGATTAGACACATCTCAACTCTGTAGTAGCGTTTGTCCCAAAGAGGCAGCTCTGACCACCGTGACATGTGTAACTAAGGAAGATGTAATTTGCATCAATATACACCGCCACAGATTAAACAGCATGTCTAACTTAAAGCAGATATTTAATTATATAAATAATTCTAATAGAACAACAGAAAAGTACTTGTAAACTTAAAACTTGTTTCTATCAAAAAGCAACTTTTGATCACAGTTAATGTATTAATAGAAACCTATCTTACTGTTTTCATAAATTGAGTATTCAATAAATAATAAGTAACGGTATTTACATTCCCACAGAATCAACAGGTTTTAATTGTGAGATACAACATTTAAAATTTAAAGTGATTTCGACAGACTTACGGGTCTGAAGACATGAATGTCTTGTGCTCTCGACACCAAGTGTGAGCTCTTGGCGATGCACGTGGCCGTCTCAAGTTTATCGCCCGTTAGCATCCATATCTAGGAAACAGTTTACCCTGGTGAACTTCAGCATTACACTTCGTCTCTTTAAAGTGTCTCTCGTTGCAGGATATTGGCATCCCAAGTTCACTGCATCACTATTCACAATATCTGAATGTGAGGCAGCCCAACTGTCCATCGAGGGTGAATGGGTGAGCAAGATGTGGCACATCCACAAGGCGACGTGGATGAACCCCGAGGATGCTGTCCTGAGTGAAATGAGCCAGCCACGAAGAGCAAATGCTGTCTGATTCCACTGGTATGCGGTCCCTGGAGTGGTCAGATCCGCAGGGACAGAAAGTAGATAGTGGGTGCTATGGGCTGGGGGCAGGGGCTGGGAGCTTGGTTTTGAGGGAAGAGTGTCAGATTCGCAAGATGAAGTTCTGGAGTGCTGTGGTGGCTGCACAACACTGTGAATGCACTTAGTGCCTGTGAGCTGTGCACCTAACAATGGGAAAAATTTCATGTTTTCCACAACAGTCTTTTTGACTTGCTTCACTAAAACAACTGGCAGCAAAGTGATTTTAGGCCTAGAGCTGAGATCTGGAGGCACACGAATGACAGGGTTTAGGAATCACATGGCTGAGGCTGATGAGGACAAAGTACATGCCAACAGGCAGCATTCACACAACCTCACATGCCACACAACCAGGCCTGAGGCACCACATGGTCATTGGCCAAGAACTAGGAGGATCCTGAAGACCCTGTTCCAGCTGGCTGGTATTCAGCTGAAAACTGAGGTTCGAAAGGGCAAATAGATGCAGTTAAGCTGGAAGTTCTAGAAAATAAAACATGTTAGCCCAGCTGGTGTGGCTCAGTGGCTGAGCATCAATCTAAAAACCTGGTCAGGGAACATACTCAGGTTTTGGGCTCAATTCACCAGTGTGGGGTGTGCAAGAGGCAGCTGATCAGTGATTCTCTCTCATCAATGATGTTTCTATCTCCCTCTCCCTTCCTCTCTGAAATCAATAAAAATATATTTTAAAAAACACATGTTAAATCATACTACTTTTACTTTAAATCCCACACACATGCACAAATTATGCATATAAATATTCCTAGAATAAAAAGAGCGAAAACTAGAATATTAACTTATTACCAAGTAGTATCTCTATATTTTTTATAGCAAAAACTTCCTGTGACCTCTCATTATCTGGATTGTTCAGGTGTCTCATGTGTCACATGTAAACATGCATTTTTGGAAGCAGGACATAGAAAAGTGTTATATGCTCTGGATTCTTTGGGTGCCACGCATTTTGGCTCTTCTCAGTGACTGAGGATTTGTGCTTTTTATCTCATGTTGAGTTCACTTTACTGAGTATGGACCCGAGACCCTGACATGCTGTGATGACAAAGTTGGGAATAAGAATCACAGAGGACAAGAGAGGCTACGTCAAGGGCCCACGAGTAGCTTGGGTGAGCTGATTGGCTGCAGCAGCACCTTAGGTTTCAAGGAATGGCTGAAATCAGGTCCCCACATCAGTGAGGGGGTTTCCTTCAACTGGAAATGTAAGAAAAAAAGAGAACCCCAGGAAGTCTTATTGAGTTTAGTGAGGAGTTGATGTAAGTACTTAAATCTTTACACAGAGCACAGACTAACTACGGAAACCTGTGGATAATCCAGCATGGGCAGATAAGAAACAGAAAAACAAGCAGGGCATCTACCTGTCATAATCACATCTCTTCCCTCGTCAGTCAGATCCAGATCATTTGCACGTCTGAGTCTGAGTGGCTCTCATGACTGAACTCCCTCCTGACCTGCTAGGGCGTCGGTCACTGTGCAGAGCTCACTGACACTGCTCTCTGCACATGAGCAACCTGCTCCATGTGCCAAGTCCAACAGGAGTGGGTGCAGTGCTGCCTCCGACCCCTCCACTGTCTCACCGTCCACATACCCAACAGCCTCTCTTCTAAAAGCAGCCGGGCTCCTTTCTTTCACGCAGTGGAGGCCCCACCCTGAGGCGCCCACCATTCTGTAACTGAGCCTCTGCTTCACGGGAGCGCAAGGTGAGAAACAGCCAGGAGGAGCTAATGTCGTGTGTGCATAGAGAGGGCACACTAGCCAGGAAGAGAAGGCAGCACAGAGGTCATGCAGTCACAGGGAAACCGCGCTCTGCTCCAGGTGCCGTACCTTGATTCCCGCGTTGCGCAGCATCTCCAGGGTTGGCCGCACATCAGCCTGCAGCCGGTCCTCCACCCCTGTCAGGCACAGCAGCTGCATCTCCCGCTCCAGGCTCTCCACCACAGCAGCCACCTTCAGCGCCCGGTCATGCACACTCAGCTTTGCCTGCATGTAGCGGCTCTGAGGATAGAGACGGGCTGTGCTATTTATATTTATTAGTATTTAGGACTTGCTGAATAGATAGAAACTTGCAACACCAAAGAAATCCTCACTTCTACTGCAGAAGAGGATGGGACCATTACAGGGTTGGGGACTAAGTCCTGATGCTCCCAGCTGTGGCCACACGACTTCACAATGTCCTATGAGCAGTATGAACTCATTTTCACAGGAGCACCAGAGCCCACAAGGGATGAATGTCTGAGGGTGGAGAGAGACGATCTGCTCACCTCAAAGTCCTGGTACTGCTCCTCCGTGAGCGCCCTCTTCGCGACCACGAGGGTGCGCAGACCTTCTCGGGCCATGTTTCCACACTGGAAAGGAAGAGGCAGGCTACTGTGCTGTCATCACCCTCTCTGCATTTTTATCTCTCTCCCAGTTCCTGTGTCCTGTGCCAGTGGGGCTGGAGCTGGAGCGGCAGAGTCAGACATTTTCAGTCTACCTCCTTGCCCAGATGGGTGGGTACAGCACTTAGCAGCTGTGCCCTCAGGGACTGCTGCCACGCCACCACCACCCCTTGATGGCCCTGCCCTTCCTGAACCCTGAGAACAAGCAGTGCACACACACAGTGGGGCTGGCGTCACAGTGCAGCTCCCAGATGACAAGCACATGCTTTCCCACCTCAAACCAAACTTGTCAGAATGGCACCACAAACCCTGAAACCATACTGTGCTCCGTGCTACCCTGTGCTGGCACGGGTAACATAGGGAGATTGATAGTTAAGCTGGGGAAAGAGGGAGGCCTGTAAATAGGAAGACCCCACGGAGCAGTGTGGTGAGAAGTACTGCAGAGTAACGTGTTCTTATGAAAAATAAAGTTTAAGCCACTATGTGACGAACAATAGCTACTTATTTCTGAACAACCTGTTTGAAGCTCACCTGTTGAGATGCCAAAAGTAACAACAGCCCAGGATTATCCAGGCCACTTGGCTCCTGGACCACCTGCTACCTGCTGCCAAAGGCCCTTCCCCTCTCACTGACTGCCTTTCAACTTTCAATATCTGACAGTATTTTGAAAGCCAAAAACTCCAGCTGTTCAGCCTGTTTTGGGCATTTGTGGTTTACAGAGACCATGGTGATCGCTCCCGGATCCACTGGTGCCCCCCCTGTGCTGGACTTTTGGGCAAGGGGCTGGCAAAGGCAGGGCCAGGAGCAGGGTCTTTTCAAAATATTTTGAGCAAATACCAGGGGACAGGACTCTAGTCACAGCTAAAGAACAACTAATCAAAACAGTGTCTCGATGTACATTTACAATGTAAAGCTGACAATGTGATGATGTATTTAAGCAAATACATTGCTAACAAATGAACCAGCTACTTTAATGAAAGAAAGTCAAACACTAGTGATGGGTATGCACTGTTAGGACTGATTACTGTTAGCATCTGTACAGCATGAAGGGGAGAGGAAGGTGCCCTCTTTGCAGCTCTCACAGGGAGGCTGGCTCTGCATCCCAGCCACCGAGGGGACTGTGACTTTGAGTGTCTGACCTTCTGTGCATTAGAATTAGAGATGAGTGGAAATTCCGCATCGCCCAGGGACAAGCACGCAGGCTCGCTGATAAACCATGCAGACACAACTTCCCAAGCTCACTCACCCCGCTAGCTTTGTGCAGAGGCCCTGTCATTGCCTACTGTCCCTTCAGGGCAAAGCTAATGTTTCTAGATAACGTCATCTCCCTCTACAGGAGGTTCATCTCCAGCAAAGCTCATTTACTACATTGATGCTAAAATCTGTAGGCACATACAAAGCCTGCGCCATTTGGGTTTGCTGAAGCTCCTTGTCAGTTCACTGGGTAGACTAGTCTGATGCTCACAATCACACACACAGCTGCAGACATGGCAGAAAGAGCTGACGAAAGGTCCCGGCTGCAGACAGGGACCCCAGGGGATGTCAGTATGCTCTTCACTGTGCCCTCATACTTCCCTGTTCCTCAATTCTTAACTCCTGTTCACCTCTAACATCAGGTCTGGGGGTGAATGGCAAGCCTGCTTTCGAGGGAAGGCGGCCACTGTTAGCTGCTACATCCAGGACCTGGTTCTGGAGTTTATGCAGATTCACACCACAGGGTTGGTAAAATCGGCCCCTTCTGTCACATGACAAGTGAAAAGTGTTGGTAGTTTTTTTGTTTTGTTGTTTTTTAATATTTTCAGAACACAAGTTTATAGTCAAGAATCCTACCTGGGGGCTTGTCTGAGACAGAGGAGCCCACAGGGCTCTGAGAGCCTGCTGGTCTCCCCCATGAAATGTCTTCAGACTACCAAGACATGGGCAGAGGTCAAAGATTCAACTAAGGGAAGAACTGCAATGCTGAGGACGTAAATGTACAAAGGATTGTTAATAAAGTTATCTTTGTGAAAGACAATCTGACATTATGTGTCTGGTGCAGGACATTTATTGATTTGACCTCATAAAGCTAAATACATTAAACAAGTATTTTATAATTAATTGCACATCATTATGACCAAAAGTAATTTTTATGGCATTTTACTAGGTCTTCAGGGAGTTTAATTTATTCATGTTCCTGATTAAATCCCAGTGCCCGAGGAGCTATTGATTCATATTGCCAATACCTCTGTGGAGGGTGTGGCCCTCACTGACAGACGGTCTGTCCACGGTGGGGAGATATTAACACAACAGCAATGTGCACGAATTAAAAGGCTGTTGTTTATAACTGCAGGGCTTTAGTTTTACTTTCAAATTCAGCTTCTTATTAATAAATAAGCGTAAACAACAAATACTATAACCTCATTAGGCTAAAACAAGTCATATTTGTTTAGGGACAATTTGATGCAATAGAGCACTGGTTATGTTTGTATCTTACTTTCTATTTTTAAAGTGAATCCTATGTACAAATTAGAACTAGATTTAAATACTAATTAAATCCCCTTACAAATAATTTAGGTTAAAAATGAGTATATTAAATTGGCTATATGTACATTGTTATTTCAGAATTTTCTACTTTTTCACCAATAAACAAAATACTCTTCACAGGACCTACTTGTGTGCCTGACATACCGTCACGCAAATCCCAGCACAGAAGTTGTGCACAAATAGAGGAAGCTGCTCATCACTAAACAACCTCGTGGAACTGAGCTGGTATCACCTGAGGTGATCCAGTGGGAAACACTATCCTGAAAAATACTGTGTTGGGTTTGAAACCTGGCGTGATAATTCATCCCCAATCCCAGGTCTACCAGCTGGGACAGCACACTGGTTTTCCGTCTGCTTGCTAATCTGTGAACACGTTCTCATGATAGAGTGCTAGTTACCTCCTCCTCCAGCCAGTCATTATACTGGACGATGGTGGACATGACAGCATCAGCACCTTTCATGTAGAAGGTGATTTCTGACGTGGACTCATCCTGCAAGAAAGGAGAATAAATGGGTATGTTCAGACCATGCTGCTCCTCAAATGACAGCAGCTCTAACAGGCTCAGAACAGGGTCTTCATGCAACTGCCCGGTGCTACACTGCTCGAACCTCTTTCTACACAGGCTACATTGCCCCGATGCTCAGGCACCAAGATCGAGAACACAGCTGCAGATCTCGAGCCACTGTGCGGTGCTCAGAATAAAATTAGTTATCGGACATATGCCTTGGACTACAAGGTAAGTATGAATTCTCTCTACTTTTCATGGTTTGATTGAATAAGCTTCCTTGTATAGCCAACTTCTAATATATAGTTTTGGCATTTGTTAAAAATTTAATGGGGGTATATTTTAGCAATTTTATGGTCATAAGTCATTCTTACTTTAAAGTCTTCGGCAAGCTCCTGCTATTGAAAACAAAACAGAATGAGGAAATGACCTTCTTACTAGCTCTGCCTCAGTTGTCTCAGGAGAACTACCTGAAGTCACCCCCTCACAGTGTCAATTATTGTGGGGTGAGGATGCCTACCCTGACGATGATGCCCATGCGCTTGCCCTCCGACGTGAAGGGGAACATCTGTAGGACGCAGTAGGTCAGGATCTGGCCGCCAGGCGTCCTCAATTGCATGGACGTGAGGTCTCTGTTGACCAGGGTGAGGCCGATGCTCTCTGTCCACTGCACCAGAGCCACCTGGGGGGAGACCAGCAACAGGTGAGACTACTGGCTTCCCAGGAAGAAAAGCAAGAAGCTGGAAGTCAGAAAGCTTGGCCAAAAGATGACCAATTTACACAGCTCACTGTGCTGAGAACTTGTGTATCTTTGTAGCTGTGTTAGTGTTCACTTTTAATAATATTCCTCAGGCCAACAATAACAGGATGACAGAGCCCTCGATCTCACTTTCTGAAACAAAGGACACATCTGAGTGTGCTCTGGTTTACTAGCTGTCCAGAGCCAGGATTTAGTGGGCACACACAGTGGGCTGGAGGGCTCGGTGGTGGGCAGGCACTCACTATCGGCTTTCCAAGGTTCTTTCTGATTCCAGGAGCCTATGAGAGAGCAAACCATCTAACTCTCTCTGTGTATCTGACCTTTTTCTAAAATAAGAGATGTCTGGCTGGCATAGCTCAGTGGTTGAACGTCGACCTATGAACAAAGAGGTCATGATTTGATTCCCAGTCAGGGCACAAGCCTGAGTTTCGGGCTCAATTCCCAATGTGGGGCATATAAGAGATAGCCGATCAATGATTCCCTCATACTGATGTTTCTGTATCTTTCTCTCTCCTTTCCTCTCTGAAATCAATAAAAATATATTTTTTAAAAAAGGCATAAGGGAGTGGACACTCAACCTTCTCACCTGGTTCCTCACCTAAACCCCAGAAACAGAAGGGACTGAGGTGCCATTTTCCACTGCCCAGGAGGGCACACAGCATGTTCCATCCTAGGTTTGCAGAGTGAAGTTGCTTCCTGGTGCAGGCGTGCCTTAGGACAGTGGTCGGCAAAGTAGCTCGCGAGCCTCCGTTTGCAGGTCTGTTGACTAATGAGTTTGCTGACCACTGCTTTAGAGCCTCGTGTCCTGCTGCCACATCTCCAGCAGAAAGGAGGATGGGAAGGCTGTCCTCCACCATGGCCTTCCCCACCCCTTGCAAGTTCCTCCTTTGTCCCACCACCTTCGCTGCTTCCTGTGCAGTGTGCCCATTTCACCTCAGCCCCAATTTATCATTTAAAAATACACATTTCATTTTAATGAAGAAAATCATAGTTGGCTGACATAAATCTAGGACAGCAAAACATTACACATTAGATTGCCAGCTAATGAGCCTTGACTGTATTGGATTATGATCAATTGCCCTGAGCAGCAATCTAACATCAGTCTTGCTGTCCTGCCCATGGGTGAGGCAGCACCCACTGTGCTGTCACCCCTGTGCTGCAAAGATGGCATCTTTGTAGACGCAGGGCCGGGAGTTACGTTGTTGGGAAAGGTTCTGACCTGGAGCCTTTCCTGTCATTTGCCGTGACCATCTGTGTCTGTGGTGGTCTGAAGACAAGAGCTGTTCTTGCTCTAGCTGGTTCAGCTCAGTGGAGTGTGGGAAGGGGAGAGACAGAGAGAGAAACATAATGTGTGACATCAACTGGTTGCCTCCCAGAAGAGCCTGCAACCAAGGTACAAGGTATGTGTCCTTGACCAGAATCGAACCCGAGACTCTTCAGTCTGCAGGCCAATGCTCTATCCACTGAGCCAAACTGGCTATGGCTCTTCTAATGTTTTTACATGGATGCCAAGTTTGTATATTTCATTTCTTCTTCCTGACGCACCCACTCTCTGGCTTCTTTCAAGACACTCCCTAACCTGTCACTTGCTGAGACAGAGTTTCTGTCTCCTGCCACCGCTGTGCTGCTGGCAGTCAGGGAGGTGGTACCTGAACTGGAGCTGTTCAGTGACTATTTTCTCAGCTTCTCTGAGGTCATCCTTTTCTATATTGGGTCACACTGCATACTCTGTGTGGTGGCTTCTAACAAGAGCTTAAAATTTATCTCAGGAGCAGTTAATTCTCTGCTGCTTTTTTAATTTCCCAACTGTGCGGCCCTCGTGGTACGTTGGATACTGTTAGTGATGGTGTAGGCCTCCCAAGAATGTGCCCTCCTCCCAACATTGAGTTCTAGAGAGTTGGGGAGATTTCCTCAGTGCTTAGGTCTGGGTTCTGTTTAAGAGAGTTTTCAATGCTGTTGCTTGATTTTCTCTCTTCAGGGATTTTTGTAAGTATTTGAATGAAACATGCAGAGAGTGGATTATCCAGTACTTGTGTGTTGCCATGTTCATGTGTAAGGTTCTGCTTGACATTATAATAGGACATAATCCTGAGATATTTTTCTCTGAAATGTAAAGATAACTTAGAGCATAAAGGTTTAATCTATTTGAAATGACTGTTTCACAAGAGCTTTCAGAAGTATCTAACAATATAATTATTGACAATAATACAAAAGTAAAAATAATTAAAATGAGATGTAAAAATGTATGTAAGTAGAAGCTTGAGTTAAGTCTCATCCATAGGCACTGAGTAACACACTCAGGAAGTTTATTTACACATTCATGTGTCTTTGTGCTTAGTAACCGGTATGGAAGGTAGTTCCAAGAGTTGTGAAATGAGAGGAAACAGAACATGGGGTTGGAACTACAACTTCTTTAAAAAGTTTCTGTGTTGTCATTCTTTTATTGTGTGTGTGTTTATTTTTATTTTTTAAAATAAATCTTTATTGTTGAAACTATTACGTATGTCTCTTTTTCCCCTCACCCTCCCCATCCCCCCAAGCCTTCATCACCCACTGTTTGTGTTCTTGGGTTATACATATACGCATATGAGTTCATTGGTTGATCTCTTGTTCCCCTCCACCCTCCCCTGCCGTCCCTCTGAGGTTTGACAGTCTGTTCAATGTTTCTATGTCTCTGGGTCTATTTTTGTTCATTCGTTTATGTTGGTCATTAGATTCTACATATGAGTGAGATCATGTGATATTTATCTATCCATTCTGTTGCAAATGGTAAGAGTTTTTCTTTTTTATAGCTGCATAGTATTCCATTGTGTAGATATACCATCCTTTTTTAATCCACTCATCTGCTGATGGGCACTTAGGCTGTTTCCAAATCTTAGCTATTGTAAATTGTGCTGCTATGAACACAGGGGTGCATATATCCTTTCTAGCTGGCATTTCTAACTTCTTGGGATATATTCCTAGAAGTGGGATCACTTGATCAAATGGCAGTTTCATTTTTAATCTTTTGAGGAAACTCCATACTGTTTTCCACAGAGGCTGCACCAGTTGCATTCCTACCAGTAGTGCATGGGAGTTTCCTTTTCTCTACATCCCTGCCAACACTTGTCATTTGTTTATTTGTTGATGACAGTCATTTTTACAGGTGTGAGGTGGTACCTCATTGTCCTTTTGATTTGCATCTCTCAGATGATCAGTGACTTTGAGTACTTTTTCATGCCTTTTGGCCTTCTGTATGTCTGGAGAAGTGTCTATTGAGGTCCCTTGCCCATTTTTTAATTGGGTTGTTTATCTTCCTTTTGTTAAGCTGAATGAGCTGTGCTATCATTCTTTAAGAGCATGGGAAAATGTCCTTTATCATCTTGACAATTACACAGGCATAGCTGCCAGCAATACTCCAGGGTAGTTTTTATCACACACTTTATCAATCATAATCTGTGCTATTACCATCGTTATAATAACAGAATTATGAATGTAAACTGCAATCTGATTGCCTGGAAAGACTGCCAATCAATACTCATGGCTGGCCATGGATTCGGCATTCTCTTCTGCTCCTGAGGGTCACAGGAGGGTTGATGTCACTGACAGGGACCTGCTCCCCACAGAAATGCTGATGAAAGTGCACAATCGGTCCTCTGCTTTGACAGGCACAGCAATAACATGGATTAAACTGAAGCATGCTGCATACATTATAGCTTACTTCGCTACCAGTAAATTCAAAAGCAATGCTATTAATGACATAACATTCTTCTATTTTTAGGTTTGTCCTAAATTTTAGCTGATTCTTCACTAACCACCCAGTAAAGATTTATCTACCCCAAAATGATATCTGAATGTAGAAACTACCTGTGATAAAGGGTGTGGCTCTGGGGGAAGAGTGTTACTACCAAATAGTGGGTGTACAGGGTCCGCAGTCACAAGAATCACATCCAGTCAATCACCTTTCTGGGCCAAAAGAGGGTAGAGGTTGTCAAGGTTTGTGTCATCCTGTGCCTGGATCACCTGAGCTGGTGCCCCTCTGCATGCTGGCCATGTCCACTTAGGCCTGTTCCTGGCACTAGATCAGTGTCAGCTCTCAGCACCTAGCAGATACAGCCCTGAAGAGGGCTGGCTTTAACTGTTCAGGGATTCCCAGGGAACTTTTCATGTCTGCTAAGCTGGAGTTTGCTATGCGGAAGCTGTGGACACAAAGTGACAGGTAAGGAACTTCCTCTTCCCAGAGAAAATAACTATTGATCACTCACCATAATAAACAACAACCAGGTGTAAGCAGACTCCACACTGACCCAACAGAACACCCCACCACTCGCCATATCTGAAAGTATCCCTATACACACTTCATTACTACACATACTTCATGACTGTGCCTCATAGAACCTTAATTATTTATGATGAATCCACCCAGAACTCCATTATTAGTATTGCGAAGACTTATTTATGCACATGCGTGAGGGAAATATCCTTTCCATTTTGAGAAAATGAAAATGAGACTTCTATTGAGTAGAATCAACACTGAGGTCATTCTACATAATGAAGTGTGTTCTCTTTAAAGGCTGAGATGACACAGCCATAATTGCATGGGGATTGTGAGGTACAGAGCTGAGCAACATAAAGCACTGTGGTCTTCTGACGACATCACTGCTTGCTAGGCAGGTACATTGTGACAGGTCCCAGCTGAGGTTGGACAGAAAACATCAATGGGGACCTGCCCCTGAGTGGAGCTCTGGGGTGCACAATCCTCATCACTTGATTTAATAAAAATGTTTCTGAAGCACCACCAGTGACTGGACCCATCGCCATTCTCCATTAGCCTAGTGTAGCCAAGTTTACTCAGCTCAGTACTGAGACCTTAGATGACCGTCCTCAGGCTTCAGGGACCCACAAATACTGCATCTATAGAGCCTTTTAAAATTATAATGATATCCAACCTTTTCCTTTTTAGACTAAAATTCATATTCCTAATGGTTATATAATATTCTGTTACTTTTTAATCATTGTCCAATTTCCTAAGTAGGAAGAAATTTTAAATAAGTACACATTTAAATATAAGATAAACAGTTTCTACTTAGTTCTAGTAATCTTTGAATCAAGAAAATCCCTCTTTATTGTGAATTCCTAACCTAAGATTCAAAAAGTATTATAGAAACCTAAGATGAAAAATCCTATATATTTTCAACAAAATTTGTACTTATTTTTGGCATGTAATAATGTAGATGTGTAATAAAGTATATTTAACTATTTTCCATGGCTGGCTTGATTACTTTACAGAGATCTGAAGAACCCACAGTGGAGAGAGTATATAAGAAAACTATATATAAAATATACTAAGACTGTATGGGAACTGGGCAAATTAGTTAAATAATAGATTTTTTTGTTGTTGTTCATCCTCACCTGAGGATATTTATTTTTTCATTGATTTTTAGGGAGAGTGGAAGAGAGAAACATTGATGTGAGAGAAACACATCAATTGGTTGCTTCCTGCATGAGTCCTGACCAGGACCCGAAATGGGGAGGAGCCTGCAACCGAGGTACATGCCCTTGACTGGAATTGAACCTGGACTCTTTGGTCTGTAGGCCGATGCTGGATATAAAACTGTTGTCTCCTGAATACACTGAGCCAAATTGGCTAGGGCAATAATAAATTTTTATTAAACTAAAAATCAAAGAATAATATAAAGTTGGAAATTACTGATTACCATATTTAATGTTTTATCATTTCTGTTTTCTATAGATTTAAAAAAATTTTAAATTCTGGCAAACGGAAATTTAATATGCGACCCTGATGATGCATTTGGAGATGAGAAGAATCTGAGTAATGCAGCCTGTCAAGACTCAAATCAGTTCATACACTCAGACAACTGACTTCCCTCCTGTTGCCCTGTGACTAGGTCTTAGTACTCTGAGGTGTGTGGACACAGTAGGATCAAGTGCACATGCAGCAAGTCCTCACTTAGCCAGGTTTCCCAGCCTGTCGCATTAACACTATTCTAAAGCTCCCCTATTCACTCCTAAAAGAACTCATGCTCATGCTTTTGAGTCCCAGTGAAACACACAGACAGACACAGCTTTGTACTCTGAGGAATAACACGGGGAAACGAGATTCTGTAAAAGGCTGACTGACCTCATCTGGGCTGGAGGCCTGGTAGGTGCGGTTCTCATCACTGAAGTCTTGGTCCACCTCTGCGTACTCAGTCTCCCCAGTCACACCGGCTCGAGACTCGTAAACCGGCGTCACGTTGTGGCACAGAGCAATAGCTGTCACTGCTTCGTGAACTCGGCTGCTCACACTCTTTCTAACTTTGGGACCTGAAGACTGGGCTTTTCTTGGTGGAGTTGAACTGGTATTGTTTCCACTAGCTTGAGAGTGCAGCTGTGAATATGGAAGTCACAAAGTTGAAGCATAGCTGACACTGGGATTATGAACATGTATTATCTTACAACTAATTAGTTAGGGTAAAAAAAAGGAGCTTGATTTGATTTCCTGCTGATGATCTCCTACACCATATGTGCTGGTAGGATAAGGTTTTTATCTGACTGTTGCAAGTGCTGTGGTAATCCCCAGTTGTCAAGTACCCGAAAATATTTGCTATAATGTTTACCACCTAACAGTTTCCTTTTACTAGATTCAATCTAACTGTGGCATTAACTTGCTGAGTCCTTTATAATTCCTGCTTATTTACTATTTCTGAAAGCAGAGTAAATTTGAGAACAAAATAGAATGGTATATAATACACCCTCTTTCATTTTTGTTTATAAATGCTCTACTTAAAATGTTATAAACATTTGCTGAATACCATAAATCAATCCAGCTTGCAACAGTTTCTAAAGTTATAGTCCAGTTGTGGCGATCAAAATAACCAGTGATGGCTGCATTCTGAGGAGGAGTGACCCTCACGTCATATCTCAAAACCCTGTTCTCCTGTAGCAACCACCCAGTTAGCACTAATGTTTGCTTGGCTCTCATTACATTCAGCTGCATTCAAGGGCCTCATCAGCCAAGCAGATGACTTTTATTATTCACCTCCTACTTGGGGGAGGGACACGCCCCCTGACCCCAAAGGACTGTCAAACATTTCTTCAGTAACTTCAGAGTCACTTGTGACTATCCTCCTTAGCACCGAGCCTGCCGCTTTTGGACCGGGCGTGCAGAGCCAATGAACCGTGACTACTCTGCCCATCAAATTACAGTGCTGTCTAATGAAGGGTTTAACTTCTCTGCTCAGCTGGCACCCCTGTCAGCGAGCTTCAGACCCCACATCTGCGTTCTGCTCACATGCTGCCGTTATAGCAGAAACTCGCTGACGCCCACCTTCTGCATTAGGCTATGCTCACTGATGGCTGTATAATTTAATTTCGCACAAATCCCATTAAAGATATGCCCTCTATCACCAGTGCTTCCAGTGGGGAAATATAACCAGGTTATAAAAGATTTGTGTACGTTAAAGTGGACCTAGTAGGCTTCTGTCATCTTAATAATAAAGAACATAAGGAGTAAAGTAAATTTCACATAAAAAGGACTGTCTAACCAGGTCACCAAAAGATAGCTCTTAGTAAAATAAATAAATAAATAAATAAAAAATTGGAAGTCCTCTTAAATGGGGAAAATATTAAATATTTGCTATTTTTATATAATGACTCATCTTACCTTCTTTTATTTTTATCTAGTAAAATCACTTATTTGGAGCTATCATAATCATATTTATAATAATGAAAGCATAATATGCTAATTAGACTGGACAGCCAAATGACCTTTCAGACACCTTCTGGTTGAAGCCACACTGTGAGGGCCGAGCCCCTTGCACGAATTTTGTACATTGGGCCGCTAGTTCATGGATAATATAAGTTAATTTTGAAAAGAACACATGTCACCTGGTACCATTTCAATCCCGACATAGGTTTCTACTCTGTTTCCCCGAAAATAAGACAGTGTCTTATATTAATTTTTTCTCCCAAAGTTGCACTAGGTCTTATTTTCAGAGGATGTCTTATTTTTGGGGAAACACGGTAGGAGAGCGGAAAAGACTTTTTAGATTTTTCTTCTACTAATAAATACAGGGTGTCCCCAAAACATGTATATATACTTTAACAGCTGATACTTCAACTGATGTTTTTCTCTTCAGCCAGACTAAGTTTTGAACAAAGGCACTTCATCCTAAAATGCTATTGGAAGTTTGAAACACAGTTGGAATATAAACATTGCCTTTACAATTATTCAAAGTGTATATACATTTTTATACACTTTAACAGCTAATATAATTCAATGTTCACTCCTTTTAGGCTTAACTAATTTGAAATAATGGGTGAAGCCAGACTAAGCTTTGAATAAAGAAAATTTATCTCACTAGACTTTATAATGGGGTTACAGTTCAAAACTGGCAACAGTGATGAGTTGAGGATATACAAATACCGAACAAAATTATTCTTGATGTTTGTGATTCCATTGCTTTGTGTTACCAGCAGTGTCTGGACCAGAATGGTCATCAGTTTAAAAACAGACATTGACAAAAAAATTATTCATTTCTGTTGATTATTTTAAATTTTGAAAATGAACCATATGTTAATAAAAACAGACTTTATAATCATTCAAAGTATGTATCATTTTCTGGGGACACCTATATTCTGGATTACAAAGTATGCTGACTGAAATGAGTGACAGCTGAATTAATAGTGCTTGGCTTTGAGTATCTGTGCATGTGTGTGTGCTTGTATGAGTGTATAAACATCACATATAACAAACATGTACACATCACATAAATATGCACACATGATAAATATGCATGTATGATATGAACACATGACAAACATGTGTGCACATGATAAAGTATATATACACGATAAATGTGTACACATATAAGATTGTTTTCATTTGACAGCATCTCAAAAGTAAAGTATATGCTGACTGGAGAATACTGCAGAAGACAGAGAAGTTTTTATGGATCTGACAACAGTGCCAACCACACCTGAGCTTTGTCTGAGCGGAAAAAGTGCAAGTACATTTGGTCCAGTCTACGAGGGGCAGGGCCTTGGTCACTGAGCCTTGGCTGCCCTGGTAGCCCTGTGGGTAACTAGATTCTACAACAAATCTACCAAGAGACAGAGGAAAAACCCAAGGAAGTGATGACTGGTGACACAGACAGCAGCCTCGAATGGGAGAATCTTCGATTCCCTTGGCTGCTAGGTTTGAGTGCTCTGAATCAGTTATTTCAGGTTATAGGACAGGTAGAAGGAAAACCAAAGGAAGGAAACACACAACTTGGGAACAGAGGTATGGAGATCTCAGAGCCTAAAAAATAAACACTGGGAAATGGTCTGTCTCCAACCCCTCCACAGATCTCAACGTGACCTGAACTCACACATTCGCCCGACCGTGTCCAACGTCAAAAGTCTTGAATGTCAGGACTCCAGGCCATACTCACTGGAGGTAGTCCACTGCCTATGGGACAGGCAAACACCCTAACCGCCAGTGAAAGCAAACAGTCCCTGTGCTTGCCCTTACACAACTCCTCTGGGGCCAGTAGAAAAATCGAGATTTAGGGTATGTCATAAAAAAAAGAGCCCTTATCTATTAGAGACAGACTAAATATTATAGGTGAAATCATGAGATATGTGAGTTTCACTTGAAAAGCATTGGGTGAAGCAGACTGAACAGGCCTGTAGTTTGTTGCACCTGCTCACATGAATAACAGGTACAAAAGCTTCTAACACTGTACTTTCTACTTCTGTTTACTGAAAAGGTGAAAAAACAAAATATATGAAAAAGTCTTATTAATTATAAAGAAAACCAGAGGAATTGTTATGAAACATCCGATGAAGCATTCTATTTAGTATTTTTGAAATACCATCTTCACAGAATAATTTTATAAATAGTTCACTAAGAAAATTTACCATGAGTAAGTGATTTAAGGCTATTATGCCTTGTTTCTACAGTATAGAAATGCCTATTTAAAATTAGTCCAAATCTTTTGCTTGATTTATGAGTTAGAAATGATGATGGAACTAATGCAATGCTTTAAGATTAACGGAAGGAGTTTGCTAGTGTGCAGACCAGCAACTGATGGCTCACCAGAAGTCGTACCTGTGTGTAGGAGCTCCTGACATGGCTCTGGATCTCATCCATCGTGTCTGTCCCGTAGGACACAGTGCCCAGATGCAGCCGCTTAAATACCATTTCATTCTGAGTGAGGGTTCCTATGATACAAGGAGCAACAGAAAATGAGAGCATACAGGTGGTCCATCGAGATCGTGGTGTTCCTTCCCTCTGCCACACCTCTGCTGCCACAATCTCTGTTCCACGACAGTCTCCTGAAATGTCTTTTGCCACTCTTTTCATCTTACTAGTGAGGACAGGAAGTGTTCTTCCCAGCACGTCAAGAATAACTTTTATAACTTTAATGATGTGAAGGAGCCTAGTTCTGTGAAGAAAATATCCCCTCTGCCTGTTACTTGACACAAAAGCCATTTATGCCTGTTCTGAAAATGACAAGCACAAAACTGCAACATTGAGTCACAGCTATGTAATCAGATGGCAGAGCCCTATCTGCGCAAGACAACTAGCCCCAAATTAATGTGTCTATCAGTTAAAAACAACAACCGTATTTTGAAAAATTAAATATTTTTAATTGAACAGAAGCAGGTGCAACTAAGCCCTGAAGGAAGAGAAAGGAAAGGAGCGGGAAGGCAGGTATTTATTCTGTAGCTATGAGCTGCTGGTGTGCTCACTGGTTCCTTGGCAGGTGAGGACAGTGTCCATGCAGTCAGTGGTCACTTCTTGGGACTGCCAGTCAGTTAGGCCAGGCACTAATGTGAGCGTGAGGCAGTGAGGAAGGCAGGCTAAGGGGTGCACAAGCAGGTCAACTTTCTGAGAGCTCGTGATTTCGGCTTCCTACCAAAAAGATACACAAGCAGATGCAGTGAAGCAATGTCATGAGAGAGGTGGGCAGAGATACCACCACACTTCAGGCAGCTGGTGAGTTTTTATTAAGTGGCAATAAATTCACAGTGCTATATATCTTAGGGCTCTGGAAGGAGACCCTCAACACTTTTTACACATCAGTTAATATAAAAACACACTAATATATGCACGTAACTTGGGCCCATCTGGTTTTGGAGTTCTGACCCCCTGTGAGGTACACAGCAGTCCTGCTTGGACGGTTCTGGTGCTGTCTTCCCTGGGCTTCTCTGCGCTCATTTCAAAGCTGTAGATCAATTTGGGGAATACTGTTGCATCTTAATACTCTGAGATCCTATGCACCGGTACATTGACTTTATTTTTGATGCTATTGTAAATGGAATTGTTTATTCAATTCAATTTTTGGACAGTTTATTGCTAGTGTATAGAAATACATTTCATTTTTGTATATTGATCTCAAATCTTGAAACCTTACTTAACTTACTTATTGGTTCTAATACAATTTTTAGATGATTAGGATTTTCTATATAAAAGTAATGTCACACATGGTCTTGCCTGACTGCCATAGTGAGAACCTTAAATATTCATAGCAGCATTATTCAATAGGCAAAAACCAGTTAATGTTGATAGACATTAACTAATTTATTAATGTCTATCAACTAATAAATGGCAAATAAAATGTGGCATATCCATGCAATGGAATATTACTCAGCAATAAAAAGGAATGAAGCACTGACACATGCTACAATGTGTCAGTTATGCTGAGTGAAAGAAGCCAGGCATTTGAAAAATCAAAGTGGCAAATTTATTGAGGCAGTAAGATTAGGAGTTGCCTAGGGCAGGGTGGGGATGAGGAAGAATGGATGGAGGCTGGTATATACAGGAGGCTTTGTAGAGTGGTGAAAACATTCTAAACTTAGATTGTGATAAAGGTTGTCCAGTGGTTATGCCAAGTACTGAGAGAGCTATAGATACATCCGGAAGATCTGTCATTTGATCCAAACATTGTGCAACAACTGCTGCACTTTCTAAAATTCTAACTTGCTACTAAGTCATGTTTTAAGCCATTTAAAACTGATATAATCAGCATTTCTCATCAAATGAACAATGAAATATTTGTGACTATTATTTTGGCATTTGAATAAGTTCACATCTTGTTGGGTTAAAGATACTGAAATATTTATGCAGACATGCCTTAAATGAGTAGCATATATGATTTCTCACATTTTGAGGTGAATCCTGAAAATGCTTTTTAAAATTTCAAGAAAGTTTTGCTCCCATAGCTGACTGCAGGATCAGCAGTATGGTCCGTGCTGGGTTGTACTTCTGTACCTTCAGGTATAGCAATCAGTGTGGGGAGACAAAACCAGTTACTAAAAAAATCTGTAATGAAACTTATTTTCCAGATCTTATCTTCCTGTCAGTTCCTACAATTTTTATTGTCTTAATATAGCAGAAGTTAATGTGTCCCGAATTTGAAACTTGGTAAAGGGGTGGAAATAATTCAGCTAGGCAGAGGCTGAAAGCCCCCAGGTCAGAGCATCCAGTGACCTCTGGTCAGGATACTGGCTCCATGGACAGGAAGTGTCTTTTAAGGAAAGGTTTGTTTGTGATTCCTGTAAAAAAAAGGCTGTAGCTCTTTAATAAAGCAGTTCTTTTGGACTACAATGAGCAAAACAGGCAAAGAGGAAATTAACTTCTAAGGAATAAGTCCTGCAGGCGTCATTCTCGGGGTGGTGACAGATGTGACACAACTAGCAGAGGAACACTGTCAGAGAAGCAGATACGGAGCTTTCTGAGCAAATATTCCCTGGTGGTGATTTGGCCTCAAACTAAAACCCACTGCAACAGAGGAGGGAGAGGTGATTACCATAGGAAACAAGAGACAATCCGCCCATAGCCCATAGGACTGGCAGCTTCCAGCCTGCACATCACTTCCTGTGAAGGTTCTAGTTCAGCAATGGGGTTGATGACTATATTAAAACACAAAGCTTAGACCTTACAAGGAAAGGATAAACAAAACTGAAGAGTATGCATTAATTCTTTAAAACTATCGGACACCATTTAATGTGGAGTCACCTGTAGTGCTTGCTGCCCAAGGGCTTTCTCAAGACGACGTTTCCAGCACTGTAGGATTTGTTCATTTGTGGAGTGTCCAAACACCCCAACATATGAACTCACACCCAAACCCACACTGTAGTGACTGTGCCAGCAGGACTGCTTACGAATGCCCCAATTGAAAACCCCGTTACCATCTCCAGACAGAACACTGCTCACCCCTTATGAAAGTGCGGCTCGCAGGCACTCTGCACACTGTGAAAACAGCATGGCTCAGCACAGATGACTGTACTGGGAAACGTGTGTGTCATTCAAGTCCAACCAACATGGCATTTTGGGTAATGGATTTAAGTTAATTTGTGAGTCGTAAGAAACCTGTTGTTTTAGTGAGTAGGCTGACTCCACACTATTTTTTAAAACCCATGACTCCTCTGCAGCTTTGTTCTAAACCAGTGGCACCACCAAAGGCACCAGAGAGGAAGGTCCAGCAGATTGACAAGGTGCAGCTCCAGCTGCAGCACTGTTCATTGCGTAGCGCCTGTATCTCTGGTCAGTGTCAATATGTTCCACATCCTGGCAGCTCACAGATGCCAACTCCTGCCGAATGAATTACTTTATGTCTCACGCACTGGTGGCCACAGATGTGTCACTATAGCAACATCATTAATTTCAGATCTTACCGGAAACGTGCATTCCAATCAAACCTAATTATACCACTCTGCTTTCTTGTCCACAAGGAAACTGTAATTCGATTATTGGGGTGCTGCATCTCCCTGCCTCTTTCATTCTGCTCTGGCCAAGGACAGTGGCACTTAGGGAGATCTCTTGTCAAAAAGCTTCTTGATGAAGCATAAACCCAATTTGCATTCCTGGGAAGCCCCACATCATAATTATGTAGCAATGTGGGACTCCTCAGAGGCTCTTCATTCCAGCCAAAGCTCAGGCTCCTTGGAAGATGTCTCAAACTGCTCCCCACTCTCCCTGACACCAAGAGTTCCACCTGACAACTACCCCGTCAGGCCTGCTGCTGCAGGGTGATGGAGGCCATTACAGTGACCCTAAGATCTGAATATTTTACATAATCAAAGTGAGGAATAGAAATAGAGCCTATTACTTAAGTTCCTGGAAAGCACATGCATATGAGTAAACACGAGAAATGAGCCTGTTTCAGGGGCACAGAATACTTTCTGGGATCTGGCTGTGACTTGCCAATGCACAGAAATCTATGTGTGCCTGACTGTTCAGTGCCCTCCTGCCGTGCCAGGCCCACCACAGAGCCTTGGCCACAATAAAGGCTTCTTCTGAGGGTTAGGGGATCTGTCCTAGCACACATGTCATTAACGGACCAGGTCTGTCCATGGCCCCCATCCCCTGTGTGGACACCATGTTTTTACAGTGTCCAAGTGCAGATGGAGCTGAATCCTATTCACCTACTTGCAGTGGCAGAATAATTAGAAAATTAGTGCTCTATCTGCATACCTATGATTTGGACAGTATGGCCCTGATGAATGGCCACAGCCAACACTTCCTCTCCCACGTGCCTGGCACCCTGACCTGAGGCCACACACCCTCAGGAAGGAGGAGACCCCGTCCTACATGTTTTAATTTCCATTTATTTTTAACTAGAGGTCCAGTGTATGAAATTTGTTCACAGGTAGGGTCCCCGGGCCTGGCCAGCAATCAGAGCCAATCTGTTGGGTGTCCGGCAAGGTGATTGGGGGTCCCTGCTGGCAAATACCTTGGCCGGCTTGATGCCGCCCACTCAGCAGCTCTGCCCCCCCACTGTCACCTCCCTCTGCGGGGAGACTGGCGGGATGATCAAGGAGTCCCAGCTGGCATCTGTCTTAACTGGCCTGGGGCCTGTGGGCTATGGGCATTTCCTGCATCAAATGTCTGCCCCCTGGTGGTCAGTACATGTTATAACGACTGATCATTCCACAAGTCATTTGGCCTTCAGTTGATTTGTATATTAGGCTTTTATTATAGAGGACTAGAGGCCTCTTCAATCCGGGACCCCTTGGAGGATGTCCGACTGCCAGTTTAGGCCCACAGGGATTGGGCCTAAATAGGCAGTCAGACATCCATCTTGCAAATTGGGACTGGCTCCTAATCACTCACCTGCCTGCCTGCATGATGGCCCCTAACTCCTCTGCCTGCCTGACTGACCCCTACTTTGCCCCCCTGCCAGCCTGATGGCCCCTACCTTGCCCTCCTGCTGGTCTGATCGCTCCTAACCTCTTTGCCCGCCTGCTTGTTCATCCCTAACTGCCTCTGCCTGCCTGATTGCCCCTAACTGCCCTCCCCTGCCGGCCTGATCTCGCCCCCAACTGCCCTCCCCTTCCAGCCTAATTACCCCTAACTGCCTCTGCCTCAGTCCTCACCACCATAGCTTTGTCCAGAAGGAAGTCGGATGTCTGGAAGATGGCCGGTCCACCCAGTCTAATTAGCATATTACCCTTTTATTAGTATAGATAGATAATATAGGATAGGATTGCTTAAATGGGGAAGGGGAAGCCTTTTTCAGCAGGAGAAGATGAACTTGGCAGACCAAACATAATCTTTATATCTAGATTAGTTAGTCATATGCACTATACTGCCAAACCAGTCATTAAAAAACTGAATCAACTTCTTATACCAAATAGCTGTTGCCCTTAAAACCCCTCCCCAGCCCCCACTTTAGGTTCGGCCTTTGCAGTTCACCCAAAGTAGGTTCTGATTGGTCGATTTCTATGCCAGTCAGCATCAAAAGTTCTGCCTCTTAGACAGCCACTGTCTCCTCGCAATTCACCCAGATTTGGTGATGATTGATTAGTTTCTATGCCAGTTAGCATTTCTGGGCCTGATCAGAGGCAGGGCTGATTAGCAGCCACCCCAGGCTGCTGGTGAGTGGGTTGAACTGCTGATCTCTGAGAGAGAGAGAGAGAGAGAGCGCCGCGCCTCTCCAGCAGTTGCTGCTGATCAGCCCTGCCCCTCTCTCTATCCAACAGGTCAACAGTTCAGCCCGCTCACTTGCTGTGCATGCAAACTGGTGTTCAGTGAGTCTTCAGTTGTTCTGGATGTTATGAACCTGGTGCGTGTGCTCTCTCTCTCTCTCTCTCTCTCTCTCTCTCTTCTATATACACACACACACACACACACACAGACACACACACACACACACACACACACACACACTGCTTTATATGTTTACTTGCCATTCTAATCGGCATGTTTACATTAAGTGTCCCAATTGTTGTGGATACACAGAAATGATGTAGTTTAACTTTGGCACTGGGTTTATATGTGTAACTAAGCTTTCTTATAATTCTTAACATTTCACTGATGGCTCTTTTAGATTTCTTTGTAAAAGCCATTGAATTTTTCTTTGGGAACAGCTCACTTGTTCATGTTGGCACTTTGATTTCTGTAGGTGATTCTTGGTTTCCGGTTATATTTGTCAATGAAGTCCAGGCTGATTGGTTGGTAAGCAGGGTGGTTTTCTTCTGTAAATGCCTTGACCTGTGCACCTGTTGGCTTTACATTCAGTATTCCCCTTCTTATGCGTCAGAGTAATTCCAAGTTCAGATGTGCTTTTCTCTGGCTACTCTCTCAATTTCTAGCAACAACTTCATTTCTGGATCCTCTGAGGCCATTTTGCTTGCTTTCTATGTTGTTACAGGCTTGTTCTTTAAACTTCTTCCCATCAGCTCAACACAGCTAGTAAGGGAAACTCTGAAGGTTCTTCCTCCACCGATCTGCTTGAACCCGAGCCCTTCATGCTGTTATTTCTGAGTTACTCTTGATTCCTGAGCATCGCCTGCATGGCCAGTACTCAACATCCATCAAAGACAGGCCAAAGGAAACCCAAACAATCTAACACGGGATCTGACAGCCCTGCAGTGATCAAATGTATGACTTGGTTGTGAGGCTTCCATTTCTGCAATGAGGATTTCACATTTGGGATGTGTTTGTCTTCTTTTCCATTTCTCTGTGATGGCTGGACATTCTACACATGTGCCCTCTGCCATCCTCACATCCCAGCATGTGTGCTCGATGAGGACTTAAGCTATCGGGTCCCAATGTGCATGCTATGCATGGACTTTGGCTAGCGGGAAGGGTGCTATTCTCCATCTACCCGTAATGGGCTACTGTGCTGCTTTTATCTGGAACCCGCCACTCACTCTACTGATCGCTTGTTTCCACCAAGTGATTTGCTTGGTTGATTGTTACATCTGCAAACATTTTTTTTTTCCTTTTTGTTGTTTATTTCTACTTCTTGTCTTGTTGCAATGGCTAGAATAATAATTAAACAGCAGTGTTGTTAGCAGATTTCTCTTTCTTCTTCCTGATTATAGTGAGAACTTTTCTAATATTTTATTTAAAATGCTGAATTTTATTTGAGACATATTTTGTTTACCATTTATACAAATATTATTTTATTTCTATTTCACTAATAATTATTTGGAAATCATAAACCAAGGAGGGACTGAATCTTTGATCTGGTTTTTATTACACTGCTGCATTCAATTTGTGTTGTCTCTAGTATGTTATGGATTGACAAATTCTTTGATGAATAAAAGAAACAAAACAAAATAAAGACAAATAGAATTTTGGGCATGAAACCTCAAGTTGAGATAAATTGTTTGTGGTCAGGCTCTTTAGGAGAAGGTAATTGTTAAAACACCAAATTTACCCATCTTACTTTTATTTTCTTCTACTAGCTTATATGTCATTCTATAATAAACAAGCAATTTTTGCTCTTACAAAGCCACTAGAGAGGTGTTATAAAAGCAGTTAAAAATAAGACCAAAAAATCTGTAAGGTTGTAAAAAATTAAAAATATAGAAATGTCATTTTAATCTCTGAGAATTTAATATTTTGCTAATTCCGATGATACTGTGTATATAAGATGATGAATATTAGTTGTGTGTCAGTTTCAAGAGCAGAGTCTGAGAAACTCTAAATATGACTCAATATATACAGACACCATAAACCCATGTCGACATATACACACCAGGTCAACCTGAGGTGCGCATACACACACACAGTGGTACCTGTCTTATCCGTCAGCAGATACACAAGGCGGCCCAGCTCCTCTGGGATGGTGCTGGTCCGGACAACTGTGCCAGGAATGTTCTCATCCCTCATCATCATCCACCCATATGCTGCTTTGCCCATGTCCAAGTTCACACGCAAACTGCCAAATAAAAACATCACATAGTTAGTGTGACCCAGACCTGTGAATACCAACATGCTCATGATTTTCATATAAATTTATTTATACACATTATTTTAACTTTACATGAAATAAGTAACATTGAATTTTAGACTTTGCAATAGGTGAATTTACAGTCTTTTTAAGTCAGCAAACCTTTCTACACCCCAAGACATGCCTGCAGGTGACAGTGAAGTAGTTACTCATGCTGTCCTCCAGCATGGTCTGGGAAAGAAAAAAATGGGCTGTTTTAAGTGCCTTAGGCAGGCAGGGTGCCAGGGGGTGTCCCTCTGGGAATATTTGAAATGGGTCTTGTTTTATTATAAGAACCTACACTCCTTGGTAGCATTATCCCAATCCTAAGCAAGGTTTCTGATGGGAGTCACAGATGTTGAGGTCCTTCTAGAATTGCATCAATGACTTCTCAGTGTCTTCCTCAGTTGCAGCAAAAACCTGGGCAAAAGTCATCTTCAGGGAGTAGGCCTTAAAAGCTGTTACAACCACCTGATCCAATTGATCAAAGTGGTAGTGTTTGGAGAAATAGCACTCTGATATTGGGAAGAACATCGCCAATAAAAAGAGGATGCCATGAGCATTATTAACAACTAGGGGCCCAATGCACGAACTTGTACACCTTGTTTGAAGAAACTATGGGCCATGAGGCTGTGGTGGGCACAGGGGCAGGTCTCGGCCCATCTTCTGTGCCCCACCTGGCCCCTCCTGCCACTGCCACTGCCGCTCCTATGCACTGATGGTGCTGGCTCCACTCGCATCTGCTGATAGTGCAGAGCAATTGGGACCAGTGCAGGCAGCGGGTGTGAGCAACAGCTCCAGCACTGGCAGTGGGTATGAGCGGGGCCGGGGCCAGCAGCAACTGTGAGCACTGGGCAGGACCATGGCATGCAGGAGCAAAGACTTTTCAGTAACACCAGAGGCTCGCCCCAGTGACAGTGATCGCATCCCTCCTTGGTCTGCGGCTTTGCTCACCTGCTCCACCATTCTGCAGTAGCCAAAGCCCACCATGTTCCATGAATGCCCCCTGGTGGTCAGCGCATGTCATAGCAACTGGTTGTTCAGTTGTTTCTCCGTTCGGTCTATTTGCGTATTAGCCTTTTATTATATAGGATAAACAAAATCTTGAAAGCTATATTCTTTTTCAAATAGTACTTCTGTTTCACTGGCACAGCAACTCGGGAAGGCATAATAGAGGAGGAGCTTGATCTCCCATGACTTCTCATTGCTCCTGCAGACACTGTGTGCTTATTGATGTGCTTGATCTCCCATGACTGTGGTTCTCACTACGCTCCATTATAGTTGTAACCTGCAACACTGCCACCAAGCAAGATGGCTATCTCATCCTTAAAAGCCTTGAAACCAGCATTGACTTGGTCTCTTTAGGGATGAAAGTCCTTTCAGGCATTTATTTCCAGAGTAGTGAAGTTTCAGCCATAGTGAATATTTTCTCTGGCAAGTAATTTTCCTCCACAGTCACCTTATCTAGTTTCTAAAAATTCTTCAGCTGACTTCACATGAGCATTTACAGGCTCACAACTCATTTTCATATTACAGAATAAATAACAATTCTTAAATAGTTTAAACCACTCACAACTAGCAGTAAATTCAACACAGTAGTCAGGTCCAGCCTTTTCTTCAATATCATTATCATTTTTGCTTTGGCCTTGGTCGTCATGGTGCTGAGTGGGATATGTGCTTGTGTTTGGTCTTCAATACAGGTCATCAGGCCCTAGCCAGTTTAGTTCAGTGGACAAAGTATCAGACTGTGGACTGTCAATTCTAGTCAAGTGCACATACCTTGGTTACAGGCTCCCAGCCCTGGCAAACAATTGTTGTGTTTCTTTCACATTGGTGTTACTCTCTGTCTCTCCCTATCCCTTCTACTCTCTCTAAAAAATCAATGGAAAAAATATATTTGGGTGAGAAAAAAAAAAAAGCAAAAAACAAAACAGGCATCAGAAGTTTCTCCATGTCTGATGGAGGCCCTTTCTGAACTTTTTGTTTTAGAAGGAGAGGAGAGAGAAACATCAATGAGAGAGAAACATTGATTGGCTGCCTCCTGCATGCCCCTTGTAGAGATTGAACCCATAACCCAGGCATGTGCCCTGACAGGGAAATGAACCAGTCTTTAGCCTTAGAGTGAAGGTATGTTCTGTGACAACAACCAATTAAGCTAAAATAAAAACAGTTAGAAAATTCAAATACACTTGTACTAGAAAACATAATAATTTCAAGAGAAACATCAAAAGTGCTTTCTTCAAAGTAATGTCCATTGCTAGCTATACATTTTCCCCATCTTTCAGGTAATTTGTGGACACCCTCCCAATAGAAATTTTCTTGTTTTGAGTCAAACCATTCAGAGACCTAATTTTTCACTTTGTATTATATGTTTTGAATGCTGCTCAAAAAATGCATGTGCCATCGATTGGAACAAGTAGTAATCTGAAGGAGCAAGGTCTGGTGAATACAGCGGGTGGGTTAATACTTCCGAAGCAAGTATTTTAATGTGTCTTTAACTTGTTTTGAAGTATGTGATGGTAGGTCATCATGAAGCAAAATTACTTTGCCATGTCTTCTGGCACATTCTGGTTGTTTCATGATCAAAGCATGGTTCAAATTGATTATTTGTTGTCGATAGTGATCAGTATTAACAGTTTCACCTGGTTTTAAAAGCTCTTAATACACCACACCTTCCTGATCCCACCAAATGTAGAGCATTGTCTTCTTTCCCAAGCAATATGGCCTTGCAGTTGATGTTGATGGTTGACCTGGATCAACCCATGATTTGGGGATTCTCAAAACAAATCCAATTTTCATCGCCAGTCACAATTTGATGCAAAAAAAGACTTTCTTTCATTCCGTTGAAGCAACATTTTACTGATGACTTTTTGGTTTTCCATTTGTCTTTCATTCAGTTGATGTGGCACCCGTTTTCCTTCCTTTAAAATCTTTCCCTTTGTAAATGATAGGAAATTGTTTGCTGAGCAATGTGTAATCTTTCTGCAAGTTGTTTTTTAGTTTGACACATATCTTCATCCAATAATGCTTGTAATGTTGGTCTTCAAACTTTTTTAGGTTGACCTGGACATTCTTTGACTTCCACATTGACACCATCACTTTTAAAGCATTTAAACCAGCATTCACAAGTATCTTGAAATGGAGCACGTTCACAATAAGCTTTCTGAAGTATATGATAACTTTTTCCTCAAAATAAATAAATTAAAATTTCCCACAAACACTCCTTTTTTTGGCACGAAATTTGACATTTTTGAGCGTAAAAATATCTATGATGTTAACACCTTCAGCAAATTTGACATGAAGTTTTGAAGCTTGCTGTCAATACAACAAAATGGCATACATATCAAATCGCGTATGTATCAACATATGTGTAACTCCATTTATTGAAAAAAATTCACATTATTTACTGGTACACCTAGTAAATGAAGAAATCACCATGAAATTTAAAAAACATTCTGTCAAAATATGAAAACTTGTAGGATGCAGCCAAAGCAGTACTCCTATAAAAAGAAATTCATAGTTTCTACTGCACATATTCAAAAAAGAAAAAGTGCTGAAAACTAATGAATTAAGCATCTATCATAAGAAGTAAGGATAATAAAAACCAAAGAAGGCAGGAGGAAAGAAATAAAGTATGGTAATACTAATAAAATAAAATAAAAATCAGATAGCATAGAGAAGGTTTTTCTAAAACCATTAAAGCTGACAAACCTATTGGAAGACTGAAAGAAAAAAAGGAAAGATAACTAAGTATCAGGAAAGAAAAATATCCTCTCTCTGAGCTTTTGTGAATAGATTAAAATACTTAGGTACAGGTGACAGGTTTCTTGAAAGCCATAATTTAGTAAAACTGACTCGAAAAGAAATAAAAAACTTGAAATCAAGTTTTATAACTCTTTAAAGTCTACTATTTAAAAAATATATTTACACTATTAAATCAACTCTGCCAAACATCTTTCCACATCAAAAAGCTCAGGCTCACATGATCTCCCAATGTGTAAATGTGCAAACAATAAATACTTATAATTTTAAATAAAATATGTTAGAGAAGAGAAAGTAAGAGAAGACTCATCAGTGTATTTTATGAGACTGGCAAAATCTTGACACTAAACATAAAGGAATGTCATGAGAAGGAAAATTATAAGTCAACCTTACTCAGGTAAACAATCAAGAATTTCACAAAAAGCACAAATAGACAGAATCTAATAATACAAGAGAGTATTGTACCATGATCAAGTTGCATTTTCTCCCCCCAAATATAAGTAGGTATGTCATTAGAAAGTCAATAAGCTATCATATTAATAAGAAATAAAAATTTAAAGATGAAAATAGTCTTAAAATTATACTCTTGATTTAAAACAAATTTAAGCAAAATAAGAAAATACTTCCTTAACATATCAAAGGGTTTCTATGAAAACGTATAGCATGTTTAATGATAAAATGTAAAAAGTTCTGCCTTTCTCATTGGAAACAAAGGAAGAATTTCCGTTATAATTATTTCTACTTAATGTTATACTAGAAATCTCTGCTATAGTGACAAGGAAAAGAAAAAATGGTGCAAGGAATCAAAAGAAACAAAGCTGTCATTATTTACTGATGATGTGATTATCTATACAGAAAATCCAATAGACTCAGATTAATAATTAATCGATAGTTTATAAAAATTGATGGATTTAATCATTTTATAAAAATCAATTTTATTCATCTATCACCAGCAACCAATACATACAAAATAGTTTAAAACTAGTATTTATAATAGCATTTAAAAAATGTCAAATACCTAAGAATAGTTTTAACAAAACTTTTTATATTAATATACCAATTCATGATTTGGCAGATTTAATATTAATTCAAATGTCCAGGGAGAGCAAAGAAAATCTTAAAGAACACAAGGAGGAAGGGCTGTCCTATCAATTAGTAACTTACTATCACAGTGTGTAAATAAGGCAGTCAATTATCTGTTTAGGAATCTACAAGCAGGCCAAAGGAAGAGGGTAGGGATCCACACAGACCTGTGCATAAATGAATACCTGGTACATGACAGAGGGGACAAGTCTTTTCTGTAAGAGGTGCTAAGACAATTGGTATGGAAAAAATAATGTGAAAAATCTACTTCACATCATTAAAAAACACCTTGCTGGGATCAGAGTCGAGACCAATTACCTTTTAGGAGTCAATGCAGGAGGAGGCTCACACCTGGACTAGAGGATTCCTTAAACAATATAGAGTGACTACTACCCACAGAAACATTCATATATGTGACTGTGAAGTGGATTACTTCTTTTTGTAATTTCACCACTGGGCGAATAAAACTTCAAGTCACAGATCAAGAAATAGTATCAGAGAAACACAACTGAAGGAAAACATGCAGAGCATATAATAACTACATAGTGCCACAACCCTGTGCATGACCCGTGAGGCACTGGCTTCAGTTGCTCCTCCTTTTTCCTGCAGTCAGCACACATTTGCAGCCAGGTAGCTCTAGCAGTTCACGTTGAGCCTGCAGATTTGGGGAATCCGACAGGCTTCTCTCATCTTGTCTTGTCCCCGTTCCTTTCAGTCTACATTGGCAGTGTTTCTGCCCTTAGGACAATCTCAGAACCTTTCTGATTCTCCTGTGTGTGCCCAGGGTCCAACTGTCAGACAAGAGAGGCTCCTCTAAAGATTTCTCCTGGATAATACTATCCAGTTTTGGCCTCTGCTGAGACGAGTCACATGCCTAATCTCTTCGGCAAAGGCTGTCAAGCACATCCTCAGCCTCTTCTCCCAGGCACACTTTTCAAACAATGAAACTTCTAATATCAGTGTCTAATATCAGTGTCATATCAGTATCTGTACAGGCCACATATTTCCCAGACCATCAATGCCTAAGTATTATCCCTAGGTCTATGTAAGGTTGAAAACACTCTTTTCTGCAAGCATTCAACCCGGAAAATGAGGACTAACTAAAGATGTCGAGTAGGTTAATACACATTTTAAAATGCCAATGTATTGTAAGCTGATAATAAGCTTCTAAGAATTTTCGTGCAATAAAACTTCAGGGAGGGCAGCCATTGAGGAGCAGCAGCCATGGCTCTGCGCTACCCCATGGCCATGGGCCTCAACAAGGGCCACAAGGTGACCAAGAACATGTGCAAGCCGAGGCACAACCACCGCACGGGAGCCTCACCAAGTTCGTGAGGGACATGACCTGAGAGGTGTGTGGCTTTGCCCCCAACGAGTGGCGAGCCATAGTGCTGCTCAAGGCCTCTAAGGACAAGAGGGCCCTGAAATTCATCAAGAAAAGGGTGGGGATACACATTGGCGCCAAGAGGAAGAGAGAGGAGCTGAGCAATGTCCTTGTAGCCAGGAGGAAGGCAGAAGCCAAGAAGGACTGAGCCCAGTCTGTGTAATAAAACCTGTTCAGAAAACAACAACAAAAAACTTGAGTGAGGTTAAATTCTGAAGCATGTTTTGTACATGTGTCATCTGACATTTTTATAATCCAGTCAGATTGTGGATGAGCAGAGCACATGGTAGGTAGTCCTTTAGGCAGTGGGCTGGTTGGCAAAATGAGCACGTGGCCGGCCATCTTGCTGGCGCACCCGTCTGTGTTAAAGGGAGGAGAACCCTGCCTCCTGAGGTACTGATATCATCAGACAGAGATGCCGCATGGACAGTCCTCACTGCGCCCATTGCCCAGGGGCCACAAGTGAGAGGGAAGTGCTCTGCCCCATGAGACAGTGCTCTCAACTAGGATGTTAATGCACACGAGCGCATGCAGGCAAAGGGGTGATAATCAACGAGCTGAGGAACTGCACGTTCCTGACCCAATGGAACTAAATGTCCTGTAAAGAAATGGGATGGCTAGTCTGCTGTTTGTGAATGATACACAATCCAGGGAATGTATTTTAATTCTGAAAGTAAGAGTCAAATCTTGTAATGTTTCTACTGAAAGACAAAGCAAATTATATCAGGTGACTCAAACATAAGAATGTCTATAAAACAGCCTCACTTCTTAAATTGGAAAAACCTTTTAGGAGTGTTAGGTCAGTAGAGAAAAACAAAAACATAAACAAAAACCACTTTCCGGAACCATGCACTTTGCAAAACAAACAAACAAAAAAATTAAAAATTGATCCTTTATTAAACTGAAAGCACATTTAGCAAACACTAAAAGGAATTACCAGCCATAGTTTATGGAAATTTTACAAAGGAAAATAACCTTGGTTGAATCAAATGTAAACCTTCACTCCCTAAAGGAGTGTGCTATACTGTCCACACTTCCCGGGCTTAATCCTTCTGCCGAGTCTGTCTAGCTGCGCCTTCAGACGGAAGGACAGACTTTTCAGGTTAAAGGACCTGAAAGATGTTTTGGAGCCAAACGAAGGTGTCTAGTAAGTCTCTCCAAGCTCGAACATGTTAAATATTAAACTATGCACTGAGACACTAGAACAAGACAGACTTACAGAAGCCTGATACAGTCCCCATTTCATAAGCAGACTTCCAAAGAGGATGCAGAAACTAAAGGAAGGGTGTGTGTGAGTGCTGGTGCGTCTATGTGTGTAACCTGCACCCTCATAACTATAAGACTGTGTATATAAGCATCTGTAAGCCTTTACAGAATTTATCAACAGTTAGAGAGACAGTACTTATTTCCTTCTTCTTGTATTAGGTATTGTCTAATTTTTTTTACTATAAATATATATATACTCAAAATATAAAAAAACAATAAAAATTAGTTTTAGTTTTAAAATGCTTATGTATTTTCAAAACTCGAATCATTTTTTCCCTGTTAATTTGATAAAGGAGAAAGTGCCAACTCTCTTTATTATTTTACTGAGGAAAAAAATTGGAGATATCCCATAGAAATAAAACATTTCTTCCAATGGCTTCTACCAGTGAAGGGAGAGGCCCAGACAAGAGCAGGACAGAGTTCTCCCTGGGCCCTAGGCTTCAGACAGCAGAAGTGACAGACATCACATAACATTGCAAAACAGATACAAGCAGCAGCAATGAAGAGAAACAAGATTAATGAAAGAATAAATAACACCTGGGAATTCCCAAGAAAAGCAGTATGACCTAGTGATGAGTGCAGGAGATGCTGGCAGTTGGAGGAGATTGTGAGTGTGTGTGGGGGGTGGGGTGGGGGGGTGGGGGTAGTAACAGCTCTCTGTACAGAACCCCAGGGACAAACTACAGCTGCACTGCTATGATTTAAGTCAATGAAAGAGACATTTCTATAGATAAACTTTTAGAGATACCAGTCTGTAAATAGAGATATGCCTTTCTCTCCAAATGCTTGTATATTGTGCCTAATACTGGTACACGTTTTAGTTCACTCTTTGATATAGAAGACAGCTATTCTGGACTCATACTTTATTCATGACTTATTAGGGTTTAATTGCCCATTCATATGAAATTTTCAATCATATATATTTAGGATATCTATTAAAAATATTATTTGTGGAAATATTTTTAAATGGACTTATCTACATTTCTTATAAATCAGTCTTTAAATTAAAGACATCTAATATTAACTATTTATATCCCAATCTCGAGTTAGATGGGTTATCATCTTGAAAAATTGTTCATATTAGAAGACTGCCTTACTCAGTATTTTATCTAACTTGACAGGTTTATTAAATGGTCTCTGAAATATAGATCACTTTAAAATGTCAATGATTGCCCTGGACTGAAGAGCACTGGAAATAAAAAGTCTACCAGCAATAAGCAAATACTATTTTGTTGGATTCAGATTTATGTTTTATGTTTATATCACCCAATTGTTGAAGATTATATTATCAATACATTTATATAAGATAAAATATCAGATTTCTAGACTATGCTAACAAAACTGACTTTGCCCCCACCCCATATGACTTCCTACAGAATTCTTCAGGATTCATCAGAGTTCCTAAGCTTTATGTGAGCAATTTCTTTCATAATGAGAGACAGATGTTAATAAACTCATATTCAATGAAACTAGACATTTGTTTTACCTTAATTCTTCAACCTACCTGATGGGAATGATGTAGGAAAAGAGGAGGAGGAACCGAAAAAGATTGCGGTACCATGGGCCTACAAAGCCTTGTAAGGTTACCATAACAACCGAGAGAGCAACCAATGCCAAAAACAGAGCTTTGGTCAGCTGATTGAGCTCAAGGTCCAACAAACCAACCTGAAAGAAAAACATGGAATTAAGACATAAACATAATGCCCCTAACATTACACATCTTAATACATGACACTTCTGATATCCATAAATTTTCCTTTGCATTGGCCTATAGTACTAGCATTTGAGAAAGGCTTGAGAACCAGGCAGAGGGAGAAGGGATTCCTCAGGATGCCTAGTGAAGGCTGATTCCAATGCTGGCTCTGCCACATGGCTGGCTAACCTTGGGAAAGCTGTAAAATGGGGTTATCACAGTGTCTTCCTATCAGGACTTGGGTTTACACAAGACCATGAACAGCTCCTGGTTAAAGGGTAAGCCTACATACATGTTATCATACTCTCATTGTCATTATTATTAAAAACTTGGATTTGAATCTCTGCTTACTAATTGTGTGATCTTGGGAAATGTGCTTACATTTTTGAAGCCCCATTTTCCTTGTCTCTAAACTGGTGCTACCTATGTACTACCTGGAGAAGCCCAGCATGGTGCTTCTGGCCCAGCCCTGTGCTTTCTCATACTGTGTATGACTTGGACAGAAACTGAATTCGTACCAGGCTGTTTCTCTTGAATTAAAAAAAACAAAAACATGATTGCCAAAACTTTTATTTAAAAAATTAAATACTGTAATTTTCAATGGGCTAATTGTTAACTTGTTTTATTTTGTAGCACTTTTTGAAACCTACAACTTTGGCCAATAAAAAGCTAGCCTTTCCTTCATTTTATATATTTAGTTTATATCTGTTTTGAATTAATATTTGCCACAAACTCTCATGAGAACATTAAACCTGTAGTTAGAGAGAAAACACAAAACTTTGTCAGAAAATCCATTAAGTGTAGCTGTGAAGAAAATTCATTACAAAAATAAATGGAATTGCCTACTATATTTTTTTTGCTAAACTCTAAGGTCATGAAAAATGAGTAAACTGTAAGATTTTACCCACAAGAAACAGCCAATCTAGTAGGAAAAATAAGACGAACACCTGTAATAAATACTATAAAAGAGAAATACAAAATAGAAAGCTTTCTTCTCTAACCAAGCTTATAGATTCACTTCTTATAGCTCACAGCCAGCACTGCTGTTGGTTAGCACTCCATGGTCTTTAAAAAAGGGGTAGAAACAATGAAAATGACAACAGGGACCCGGATATGAATGAAATTTGTCCAACAGGATAGGTTCTACTTCCACTGTAGGGTCTGCAGGGAACCTTTGCAAGGTGGGTTTGGAGTATGCAGGCTCCGCCCCTGCAAGGCCCCATCCTACTGCAGGCCCCTCCCGCTTCAGAAGCAGGAAAAAAGCCTAAGGCCTATGAAATGTGGTCTCATCTGGTCACTTAATATACAGACTCCTAATTCAGGAGGCGGAAGAAAACGTAGCTGCCAGTTCTATATGGAGTATCTATGCAGCTGTGTGTGACAGGAGACGAGGCCATACTCCCATCAGTTTCCAAGTGCCTAGTGTCCTGCAGAAAAGCACACTGCTCCTTGGGTCACCTGTTCAGCACCTCCAGGCGCAGCTACAGAGCCGCCAGGCCTGCCTTCTCCCTGGGACCAGTGTCTGGAGGGACCTGCAGGCTTTGGGCTGGGGTTTCCTGCAGGGCTGCCATAGCTGTGCTTCCCTTGAGAACCAGGCAGCTGAGGACCTGCCTGATTTATCAGCTCCATTTAAAAAGCAGCACAACGAGGACAAATATCTTGCAATTTCCGCTGCTTCAACTACTACATAGTTTATGCTTGAATTATTGAGAAAAATAGGGTTTTGGATTAAAATGAAGAAAAATTAAGCCAGGGAAGTAGAGCATGTTTCAAAGCCCAGCTCCTTTAGCTGTGACAAAGGCAGCCTAAGTCTCAGGCTCGCTGAGGGTCAGATGAAGTCATTATTCATTCAGTCAGGGAAAAAAGACTCAATTACCTCAACCTAAAGATGCTATCAATGAATGCAAAGTGCATATTTTACTCTATTCATCCAAATCCCATTAAAAAGTGAAAGGAATGATTTAATCTGGCCTTCTAGAGTTGGTCTTTTTGTAATAAAATAAAGAATCTCTGTCTTGCAAAATGTATACGCACTACCTCACACTTTCAAGAAGACTGGAAAAGCAGGGACAAAACAGTCAGGAATGGGCCAAAGTTTCCTCTGAAAGCACACACACAGGATGAGAGTCTGAAAGCAGGCCACTGCAAGCCGACATGCAGAAACTCCAGCGTGAGCACCTTTCTCATTGACGGGGAGTCAGTGTGTCCTCTTCCACCAGCCACCTTGAAGGGAAGCAGTAAGTTCCGCAGAGCAAAACCCTGCTTCCCACTGGCAGGCTGTTCTGAACTGTTGATTCTTCCTGGCAAATAACTGCAACCAAGCTATAGCATATTGCATGAGCTTGGATTTTCTTGCCAATTCTAACAATGGTGAGAAGAAAAGATACCTTTCAACTCATTTTTTTAAAAATCCACTTTCAATTAATAGTTAATTTTTTATACTCCTCTAAACACCTTTAAAAGTTTCTTTAACTCTAAAATGCAACCTGGACTCTTAGAAAGAGTCTAAAATGGACTCTTAAAAACTATTCAAAATAAAATGCAACCTGGACTCTTAGAAACTATTCAAAATAGTTAACTTATAAAGTTATAGATTCTGTAAAAAAGGTGATGATGTGCGTTTTCATATGACTGTAAAAAATTTCCTGGGACATGGAACACACCAGATACCTTTTGCTATGACTGCAAAGACTTTCCACCCATGAAATACATTAATATCTCTTGAAGTAATTATGACTGTATAAGAAAAGGTAAAGTAAGTACAATGGGAAGCAATTTTCAATATTTATTGTAACTTCCTATATTAGTAAAGCAAATTTTCTTCTACTTGTCATAATATTTGTTTTATTTGAAACAACTGTGATAACAAAATTAAATACACTACTGGAAATTTTAGTCTCTAAGGGAAAATTTGTGCATAATGTCTAAGAGACCACAATGGTTCTGCGAAGGGGCTGTTCAGGATAATGAACACAATAATTGCCTGTATAATCTAAAATGCCGCTAATGGCAGCGATCACAAATCCACTTAGCTCTTCTTTAATTTATGTACCAAGTTTTAAACAGCTAATGGTGCTCAGGAAAATAATGGTTTATAACAACAATAAAGGGTAAATACGGTATTCTCCTGCTTAATCAAGTAAAGATCAGCGCGTTTTTTAATGCACGTGTGGACGAATGAGAAACCACCTTATCTCTATGACAGCACTACTCTAATCCATCTTGGCATTGAACCTCGTTCTGCTACCAATCCCTAAAAAATCAGCATGCATACCAAACCAAAACCAAGTTTCATGTGATAAAAACTTCCCCAAACTCACACAAGATGACTGCACATAGACAGAAGGACAGTTCATAATGAAAGACGACTGGGGAAAATAACACCATTGCTAAGGCTGCTATATTTTAGCAGGTGAGCGATTCTCAGCCAGACCATTGGCTCCTGTTGTGCATAATTTGAACTGTGACTCCAAGAGTGACATAGGGCTATATTACGACCTAAATAAAATTCCTAATAAAAAGCACACCCCTTTCAAATACCTTTGAAGCAAATCAGCCTTGTATTTTCCTTTTAGTAGAATATTAAAAAACAACAAAATAATCTGCAGACCATCTTCTATACTTCAAGTGCCAAACAATAGAAATTCATACACTAAATCTTATAGTAATATTTTTTTTCCATTTTGCAGTTTAAATAAAAAGTATTTTTTTAAAAAAAGTAATGCTACATATCCTTTTCTTGCTTCTGAAGTTTACTTATTTCTTTCTTTTTGGATATGAAATACTAAGTGTCAAGTGCAGTGGCACCTGCAGGCCGGCCCACACTGTAGATGTGTCAGAGCTATTACCGTTTACCGCCTCAGTGATCTGTGAAATAAGAAGCATTTCTTTGAGCCATTCTAGACTATTGGCTCAATAATCTGTGCTTTAAAAGCTCCCTAAGTAAATATCAGCACGACAATTTTTAATGTTACAATATATCACCTTAATTTTTTAAAACAGAAATCTATATTTACACTACAAACATTTTAAAATCTATTTTGAAAGAATATTTATCCTACATTTTTAATTACCAACAAATTTTGCCAGACTATTCTACATTCTACATTCAACAAGGGTTTCTCCCTTGTTTACTACATAATTATTACTTAAAATATTTTTTCCTTAAACATTTAGTTAACATTTTAAAAAAATGGAGTTGTTATATTTTTATATAAACAAAAGGTATTACTGAAAGGCTTAGATACTCAATAGGAAATAAAACTATTTTCTATATCAAGTGAGAAACTTAAAGAGGAGACAGGAAACTCAAAGTCCTGGCCTACTTTACACAAATGTGGAGCTGATCAACTCCAACCTTCCTTATTAGGACAATGACTATTGTCAGACCACTTGGTCGGTTGGTCTACAATAATCATGATGTGAAAAGGTGAAGTTATTCCCCAAATCCAAACACACTACATGCTAAGTTTGAAGGGGGCTTCATGAATGCAAAATGAGGCTATCTTCTCAAATCACTGACCTTCTAGATCAGTGGTTCTCAACCTTTCTAATGCCATGACCCTTTAACACAGTTCCTCATGTTGTGGTAACCCTCAACCCTAAAATTATTTTCATTGCTACTTCATAACTCTAATTTGGCTACTATTATGAATCATAATGTAAATATCTGTGTTTTCTGATGATCTTAGGCGACGCTGCTAGTGGTTCTCAACCTGTGGGTCGTGGGTTGAGAACTGCCGCTGTAGAGCCTAAGACCATCGGAAAACATAGATATTTACATTATGCTTCATTAACCGTAGCAAAATTACAGTTATGAAGTAGCAACAAAAATAATTTTATGGTTGGGAGACACTACATGAGGAACTGTGTTAAAGGGTTGCGGCATTAGAAAAATTGAGAATCACTGTTCTAAATCATTTGAGAAATTTCAATTCTGGCCTTTGAATTTCCTACGAAACATATTCACACA